AATATAGTATAGTAAAAAATACAAAAAATACAATACATTTAGAGGTCTAAGTAGAACCTATAATACTAATATTAAATGTATAATATAAAGACTACTATTAGTTTACCTTTTAACTAGGCGACTTTATTAAATATAAAGGTAGTAATATTAGGCGCGTAAATAGTATATTTATTTATAAGTTAAAAGCTAAACGTTATATCTTTCTTATAATTACTAAAGTAATAGTTTCTAGCTAGTAGCACCCTTTACTTTAATTACTATTTATAAATCTAATAAATACTACTATTATAGCCCTTAAGGCTGTAAGTGTAACGCCTAATAAGTACGTAATTAGCGATAAGTTAAGCGATTCTACTATATAGCCTCGTTAAATTCTTATTAATTAAAGTCTAAAAATTCTTTAAAGTGTTATAATTATAGTAAACAATTATAGTAAGCTTTATAACGTCTTATATAAAGGCTATTATTAGTTCTAATAACGTAAGTGTTACTAGTATATAATATAATTATATTTAGCGAATACCTAAAAAGAATAAAAGATTTAATAATATTTAAGTTATAAGGTATATAGTTTATATCTCTTATATTCTTTAATATAAGAAGCTAATATAACGTGCTATACGCGCTAGGTAGGCTTATAAAGGGATAAAGATAAGATTAAGGGAATTTTTATACAATAAGTAGGTTTATAATAAAATAGATTACTTTTATTTGCTTGATAAAAAATTTATTATATTTTAAGAGTAATTTTAAGGTAAATATTATATAGCGTATATTTACGTAATAATAACATTAAAAAGTAACGTATTAAGATATTATAATAGCCTTACTTAATTAAGAGTAATACTTATATACTTAAGGCTTATTAGACTTTAATATACCTCTTTAATTTATATTTAATTAAACGATTTATATATAATACATAAATTCATTAATATAAGCCTTATAAGAAAGGTATAAACCTTATAATAAAGGGGTTCCATTATCTTTAGCACTACTATAATACCTTATAGCACCTTATAGCACCTTATTAGCACTATAGGAGCACCGTGCTAGCACCTTACGCACACCTAGCCGCCACCATGTTTCCACCGTGTAAAATAATAGCACCGCGTTATATATAGCACCGTGCCGTAGTTTTTTACGGCGCCGGCACTATACTAGATTTTTTACACGTACCACAGGTGCCACAAGGTGCCACAAGGTGCCAGATCTACATAGTGGGGCACCACTGACAGTTTCTAATGAGCTTCAAATATGTCCTGGGCCAACTTAGAAAAAAATGACAAATTTTCAAGGCACCAAAATATTATGGTTGTGAAATGTCCTCATGAATTAGAGTTGATTGGAGAGAAAAACTACAAGCAGATAGGGAACTGAACCTCCACAAGTTACAAGCAACAGCCCGCTTTTCCGGATAACCAGTTACCATCTCGGAGCGCCGCGATAAGTATCTGTGGCTTTGATTGACTATCGCAATTTTTCTATTTAGACATCGCCCATAAATGACCAAGAAAATTATTACTATGCCGCCCTGGAATATGGGTCCCATTACAACATGTGCCTGGATACCACTCAAGCCATTGCTCGCCAGAAGGGGAAACGAGATGTATAGTAGATTGGATTTGCTTCGAGGCCAACATACGCGCTATCAATGTATGCGAGGAAACCGGGCGAAGACACTAGCTGATCATTTGTGTAGCGCTCAAGGCTAACGTGCGATCTATGGCGAGCCCGGCGGGCCACTTTTAGTTTCTGCGTAAATACAAGGGCACGAACATAATATCGCTAGAAGTGGATGCACCAGAAAGGTCAAGTAGTATATAGTTATGGGAAGTGCTACTAAAGACTATCTTGATGTAGTTAGCAAGACTGATGCAAGGGAAGAGGATATGGCGGCATATCAGCATCTCATCACGCTTCAGATATAGTTTTGAGCTTTATTGCTCCTTTAAGCATTCACTCTTATTCTTCGGCGTCCCAGTTAATGTTTTAGACGCAGCAGTTGTGACTTGGAGAACAGGTAGGATGAAGCTGTTTTGTTTAATGTTCCCGCCACGAACCTCGCAACTAACTAGACTAGTCAGCTTGTCACTAATAGTTCCCCAATCCAATGACATCAGTTGACCCGCCAAGCCTCTGGTGGGGACTCATAGGGGTACTGTGTCAGGTGAGTCTGCTTGAATCTGCCGGACCAGGCGCCGTTTGTTTCGTGAGTGATTAGTCAGGACGACTGTGAAAGCTAATGTGACAAAATACAAAATACAGAATAAAGTCAAATCCTGTCGGTCTGCAACTTCTATTTCCTATTTCCAAACGGCGTCTCCAGCAATGACGGTGCACCTTCGAACTGCGACAGAAGCCGATGCTGAAGCGATTGCAACGCTGGCTGCAGACGCATTTCACCCAGACACGGACACCATAAGCCGCAGATTGTTTCCACAACACCTGCAGCCAGCCAACTGTCCAGCGGGAGACACGTTGCGGCTATGGAGACTGGCGCGGAAGTCCATCAAGTTGACCGACAAGAGAATTAATATGATGATTGCTGTCGATGATGATTTGCGTGGTCAAATTGTCGGCTTCGCTCTGTGGGAAGTTCCCTCACAGAATGCATCGGATAGCGAGTTGCTCCCTTCAGCAGTATCCTCGCCCGGCTTGGATGAGAGAGCGTTTGACGAGATGCAATCATTACTTAGTAATCATGTTCGCAAACACTTTGGAGATGAAGGAACAAACAATATGTGGCGTGCGTAGCAATCTTACCTTCTCAGTCCACATGGATCGATTGATACTGACCACTTTGCCGTCATGCTCAGATCTGGATTATCTTGCTGTTGATCCGAAGCATCAGCGTAGGGGCATTGGCAAACTTCTTTTGAATTGGGGTATGGAGAAGGCAAAACATGACGGGCGGGATTGCTATTTGGTCGCCACGCCGGCAGGAAAACCCCTCTATGAGAGTGTCGGCTTTAGAACCTTGCAGGAACTCTCCATTTTTGATGTGCCACATTACTCCATGATACTCAAGTCAGACCATGATGAAAAACTTTGAAAATCTTTGCATCTCACTTCATTAGATTATAGCTCAATCATTCCCACTTCGCAACGACATCTTGGTTCCACTACTCCCGTAAACGTTGAACAAAGAAGCAATCGCGAGATCGTTTAGTGTATCAATGGCTTATTCTTGGAGAGCCAAGTCAATAATGCATACAGAGTGTAACGTTAGTCGTGTTTTGAACAGCGTGTTTGCTATTTGCGGAACTTGCGTGCACACCTGTTGAGAGAGGCAACTCTTATAGTACCTTTGGAACGGCCTTTTCGGGGCAGTTAGGGTAACCCCAACCAACACATTGAACCAAAGAACATTTTCTATTGTAATAGACTACATGTCAGAAGTAGGGCATGTTGCATTTTAAGAACGGACGGTGGCTAGAGTGCTAGCCAACTCAGCATCGCGCTCCATCTGGACTCGCGCATGGTCGCTGGTTTCTTTTTCAGCGCCGGCACTAACGACACCTCCATTATGTCCATCAACTGGCTTGAAGCCGCGGCGAAAGACAGGGCTTTCCTGGATCTTCTTCCAGTCGTGCAGCAGCAAACCGTTTTCCACGGAGCAGCGGACCTCTTCTGCCCCACGAGGGATCATTTCCTTTTCGTATTGCGTCACGCCCTCAGAGAGCGCAAGTGATGCAGTGGTGCTGCTAAATGCTGTCTTTAGAATCTTTGAAAGGAGCGAGACGTCCTTTATACAATGGTTCAACCCCTGGCCACGATCTATGTTACGGTGGAGCGTGTCAGGAGCTGCATGATAATATTGGTGGAACGGCTCAGTGTCAAGAACTCACAGGGAGGCATTGGATGCGCAGCGTCTCCAAGCAGAGTAACTCGCCCTTGACGATTATCCCAGGCCTGTGAGACCCAGTAGCTGATTTTTGCCTTGTGTACCTCGGTGTCATCGGGAAGCCACATGAAAGCTGAGCGAGCAGGCTCTCCCATGCCGGCAGCGCGCTCTTTGATCAGAGCCAGACGCTCTTTATAGCTCATATCATTGTTGACCTCACCAAGCCATGCCATGGCCATGTGGAAGACCCAGGACTCAGGGTGATCAGGCCCGTCAGGCATGCTGGAGACTAATATAGGCGACGCGGCCGGTCAGTCGATGCGTTCCTTTCGCCGACCTTCGGTCGAGGGGAGTCATCTCGGCCGTAGGGGGTGCCAATGCTCACTTACTTGACTGAAATGCATGGAAGGAACGCTGGCTCAACGCCAAATAACTGGTTGGGTATTGCTGTCGGACCATCTGGGCTTTCTCGGCGTCGTTGTAACAGACAGTCATATTGGTGTGGAAGATGGGAAACTTGGTTACCGCCGCCTTCTCCTCACTGCCCATTGCAAACTGGCGAACTGTGGATTTTGGGCCATCAGCGCCGATAATCATGGTCCCGTGGACAATGCTTCCGTCGGAGAAGCTGGCTATAACGCCCTTCCCACTTTCGTTGAACGCAATGTCCGTTAAATGTTTACTATACTTTGTAAACCATCAGCCAACTACTTCTTTTGAATGAAAACTGGTGGAAAACATCAATAGAAAAAAAGTATTTACCTGTACATGGATTCCTTCAGCAGCCAACATTCTCATTCGACTTCGAGGTACTCGCAACCCATTCTCGTACGGGACACCAGTTATGAGCTCGCCTGTCTCGCCGTGTATTATGGGATAGAGACCCGAATGAATGCCTACTGTAGGATTGCAAGCAATTACACCCATTTTAGCGAAGAGTTCCTCGGGGAGGATTTCTTTGAGAAGGGGCAGAGCCCAGTGAATCGCCATGGTCCACTCATTGCTGCGGTAGTTCAAGGTCTCTTCCCTCTCGAAAATGGAGAATTTGATGTTGGCCTGCCCAATTTTTTTCATCGTTCAATTAATATGGAACAACTTCTTGCACAAGTAAAATGAGACGGTTACCTTCTTAAGCGCCTGGCAGATCAAGAGGCCGCTTATCCCTTTGAATGGGTAAAACGCATGACGTCAGCCATCGAGGCGAACAGAGGGAGTCGCATGATCACATACCAGCACCGACAACGATTACATGAGCGTCTTGGGCATTCATGTTCAATATGCACGGTTTCTCCGATTAGTTTACTGCTAAAGAGGTTTGACTGCTTCAGAGTTTCTCAGAACAAACGCAACTTTCGATGATACAGACAACGTAACATTCGGGCACCAAACATCTGACTAGTGACCATTTTATGCACCGGGAAGGTAGAGCAGCCCTTCTTTGAGAAAGATTTGTTCTTTCGGGCTCCATGGTAGTTGGGCGCTGAGAACTGTGGTCAGGCTCGGTCATGTAAGCTACCCTAGTCGGAGGCCGGTCTCCGATCCGGCCGCCGGCACATGAATAGTGGGCGCAACTGTTGCTGTCAGTCATCAAATAGTAACAGGCTGCCTTCATAATATCATAGTCAAACCGGGACGTACTTATGGAAAGGTTGTTGGCCTGGCTATGCCCACGCAGCTTGATATCGCTAGCTCGCCTTGACATATGAACTTTTGACATGGCAGCTAATAGTAAATGGGAGGCAGATATTTGGGGTGCTGTGTTGACCCATCAGGTTTTGAGTGTCTCTGCTGTCCTATGGACTCTCATATTTGTCGTATGTCGCCATCTTGCATTCAACACTGTTCATGCTCACACCCCATAGACCTGTCTTCATTTCCTCCGGAACATTTACTTCCACCCTCTGAGCAAGCACTCCGGACCTAGGCTCTGGGCAGCAACTCGCCTGCCGTGGTGTTGGAACCAATATCGTGGTGATTTGAGCCGCCGTCTTCAAGAACTTCACAAACAGTACGGGGCGGTGGTGAGGGTGGCCCCGGATGAGATATCCTACATCTCAGCTACTGCTTGGAAGACAATATACGGGCAGAGATCAGTTGAAATGCCAAAAGATCCAAACTTTTCTCTTCTTACACCTTCCGGCGTGCAAAGTCAGTATGGTCTTTCGTTGAACCCAAGTTAGATTTGCCCATTCTGATTTCTCGTCAGATGTCCTCACAGCAGACCGCAAAACACACGCGCGCCAGCGCCGGTTGCTGTCGCATGCATTTTCAGAAAAGGCGCTGCGCGAACAGGAGCCCATCTTGCAGACCTACTGCACGAAGTTATGTGCCCAGCTAGAAGAGAGCTGCCGTAGTGGTCCGGTCGACCTCTTTGACTGGTATACTTTTGCAAGTGCGTCTCTAACTGCTATCGCCCGATAATGACTATCAAAACTAAAACTTGGATCTTAGCATTTGATCTCGTCGGTGACCTTGCTTTTGGAAAGAGCTTCGGCTGTCTCGAGGCGGGCATGGCTTCGCCATTTGTTGAATCCATCAAGACTGGCTCTCAAGAGCTAATGGTGAACCAAATGCTGCGTTACTACCGAGTCATGTTTCTACGCCCGCTATTTGCTTTACTGGGACCATCTAACATGGCAGGCTCGCGAGCAGCTAATATGCGCCGCGCTGCAGAAACGGTTCGCGCTCGTCTAGCTCGTGGTCCGACGGCGGACCGGAAGGATGTTTGGCACCATGTCCTGAGTCACATCGCCGAGCATGAAGGCGGCATTCATGACACCAAAACGACCATGTCAGAGGCAGAAATGTATGCTAATGCCTTCTCCATCAGCATCGCCGGGTCCGAAGGCACAGCAACGGCGCTGTCTGGGGCTACATTTCTCCTGCTACGACACCCAGACGCGTATCGTAGGGCTGTCGACGAAATACGCAGCACCTTTGCTACGGAGGCAGATATCACAGCATCGAATATGGCTGGAAAGCTCGCTTTCCTCGACGCCGTCCTGAACGAGGCGATGCGTCTATACCCACCTGTCCCTATCACGCTTCCGCGCCGCGTCCCCGCCAACGGGGAAGTCATTGATGGCTGCTTTGTGCCCGCTGGCTACACCGTTGGTGTAAATCACCTGGCGTGCTACCGTTCGGACTCTAATTTCGAGGACGCTGGAAAGTTTCGGCCAGAGCGATGGCTCGATGAGTCTGGAAACGATGCCGGCGAGTCATTTAAGCCTTTCTCGCATGGGCCCCGCGCCTGTCTTGGGAAGAACCTGGCTTGGGCAGAGCTCAGGCTCATTCTGGGACGTATGTTATGGCGCTTTGATATGGAACTTGTCGAAACGAGTGCGAATCTGAGCTGGCTAGACAATCAGAGGATCTGGGGATTTTGGGCCAAGCCTCCGCTTCTCTGTAGGCTCATATCAGCACGTAAATAGGTTGGACGTTATCATAAGCTTGCCTACAAAGTAGATGAAGGGCCAGTAGCCAAGGTATTCTTTATGCATTACGCTCTCAGATCACCATCAAGCCTTCGCATTCCCAGCGCTATTTGACTCGTAACTCTCTCCTTAGGTAATTTTCACGTGGATATAATGCTCAAACGACTTTAGTCTTCACAACTATACTATTGCACAATGCCAGCCCACCGGGTTACGTAGCCACCTCACTGACGAAACTCCATTTGGACTTGTATGAAAGTAGGCCAATGAAATTAAAGGCAACAATGTTCATAAAGACAAAAGCAATACACAGATTGTATCCGGTTCCGCACCCGAAATGCATTCATATTAACAACCCTGTGTTTGCCCTTGAACAACTTCTACTATTCATTGTCTTGCTCAATCTGTCCTTTGGGACAATTTTCGCGCTTTTTGTAAGAATAAGAATGTCTTTAATAATAAAGCTTTTGGCTCCTATAGAATACACAAATTATCTAAGCACCACGTACTTCAGCTGATGTTTTGCGCGCATGGACGATAGTTCTGTGATTGCTGCTCCATTTTTGGTACTAGTTGTAGAGCTATCGTTCCCGGCAAATTGTAAAGTAAGATCATAGCAATAATAACAAAATTGCTAGTTTTTATATGTCTCTATTCATCTCTTGTGTGGATGTCACGCTACAGATGTTTCCATCTTACACATATTGGTTAGTGTTCCCTGAATGCCACGTGTCAACGTAATATAAAAGGCACAGATATCCGTGAATTAAGAGCACGGTCTTTCTGAGACAAAACGTTACAATCAAATGTTCCCAAGCTTGCTTTCTCGCTTTGCTTCAGGTACACAATTATAAGGCGCAGTTGTGTTGAACAAAAAGGATTTTGGTGTCTCACAATATTATAGTCCTAAGACAAGCGACAGTGGTATTTGACCTGCGTAGTTAATTAATGCCATATCTTACTTACTAGACAGATATGACAGGCAAAGAACCCTTCGGAACGCTGTGATGATAGTACCATGAATGAGAAGACCAAAGCAAATTCGTGAAGGGGGATTCAAAGAGCAGTCAAACAGGACATACTCACATTGTCCAAGCACGAGACGGGGCATGAACCATGAAATAAGTTTTATTCGGCATGTGCTTGATTTGCCCAAGAGACCGTGCCTGCCTGTAAGCCTGCTCCACAACGGCGCAACGATGCCCCATCTAGTAATAGCACCGTAACACAGGGTTGCATGAATGTAAACCAGGCGTACTCTGACTGGTCAACTCATTAATCCCTCATGTATTGATTCGTAGGCTGTGAGACGTGGCATATCGGCACCACCTCCATTTGGGACGTGGAGCTGACGCGCCACAAAAGTGTAAGAGTAAGCCAGAATTCGGGCGCCGAAAAACAAAGTGAACTAATCCGTATTGAAAGAGTGTGTGCTATATCGCGAAACTCGCGGTATAATTCAGCCGCACAATGTTAACTCCACACCGCACGAAATAGGTCTGGTTGGCAAAGCTTTCTACCAATGGTTTTGCATGAGCAGACCAATTTTTTTACTTTGTTACTCTGAGGTTATCGCCAATAAGCAGCCGCGGATCGCAAGACCGATGGTAATGTAACATAATATCGTCAATGTCATCGTATTAATATCGTATTCCCGCTGCAAGCTAAATATATCGTAGGGTCGCAGCCGAACTCCTAGTAAATCAACTTAGCTACGTATACGTACCGTGTTATCATTCTCACCATAAAAGTATAGCGTGGCAATAACAGTACACTACTCCGTAATTATGTTGGATACGCTAAGCACACGTCTAATCCTGGATTTGTTCCACCAACTGTGTTTCCGTCCAGATCCCAACTGACATGGATCCTTCATTACAACAACTGCTCCACCAGTGCCGTCAAGGCAACACGCAGTTTTTCGTCGTCAGATCCCCGCATTGCTCGCTGAACAATCACAGGAACCTGGTCGTGGCCAACACCCCATCTGCTTAAAGGCAGGGGCTGAAGGTCCAGCCTTCCCACAAGTTCCGTTATGTGATCCGCAAAGCTCATGGCGTCCTGCATGACATCCCCAGTTCCAGGCTTTCTGGTGGTTGGTAAGAGAAGGCGGCTGATACACCGTGCGTCCTCAATGTCCAGCCTCGCCTTGAGTCTGATTACTGCAGCGAGTGTGAGGCAGCTAGTTTCGCCGTCTGCGAGATTTTGTCAGTAGGCTGTGAGTAATAACCGAGTCAATGACGGGGTGTACTTGATGAGTTGACATACGCGAAATTCCATATGGACTACCCAACGCATGGCCCAAGGTGTGCGAGAGACCCATGTTTCCCGTAAAATTTGCGCCTCTGAGGCCAGAGGTGGCATATGCAGCCAGAAACAGTCGGGTAAGCGAGTTGTAGAGGCAGCTCTTGGCGGGCTGTTCGATCCCGATTTCGCTCTGATTGCTGTTGCTATCCTGAAGCAGTGTTGCAACCGTGGGAAGCTCGTCAAACAGAACTTCCAAAGCCCAACATGCAAGGGCTTTCCACGGCATCTCGGACGACGTTGGGTGGTAGGCTGTCTCTACGGCGTGGTCCACGGCACGAATCCCCGTGGTGAGCAACAGCCTTTTTGGCGTATACTGCGAGAACAGAGGATCGTAGAAGATTGCCGCCACACCCATTCCCGGTGCCATGAAACCGATCTTGGTGCCATCGGGGCCTGTATACCCGCCACCTGCCGTGCACTCGGCGGCGCTGAGAGTTGTGGGAATGGAAATGTGAGTGAGAAATTGGCCGCGTTGCCCATGGATGCGGTGTGAGATGGTTTTCGCTACATCAATGGGTGACCCGCCCCCAAGAGAAAGGATTGTATCGACTGAAGCGTCTTTGAGGACAATAGCAAGTGCCTCTTCTACATCAGCAACGGGGCCGTGCTGCCTAACACCAGCGAACGTCCCCGCATGATGGGCTCCGAGGAGCATCTCAACTTCTTGTACGAGTGGCGTTTTTGTTGCTAGTGTCGCACCCGTGACAACGAATACCCTGGATACATCGGACGGCAGAACAGTAGTAAGGTACTTACGAACACAGGAGGGACCGTAGAATAAGTGCTTCAGGTGCGCTTGTGGTTTCCATAGTCCAAATAAGGGGGAGTTGGTGCAATCCACGACTGTGGGCTTGGCCATGTTGCAGGAGATTTGACAATGGTGTTCCTGGATTGCCTTTCTTTCCATCTTGACATCCAACCCGGTATTTGCCAGTACACATGGTTAAATAGTATGGTAAGCAGATTGGTTTCTTGGCTAGCCTTCTTGGAAACCCGCGACGTGTAGATGGGGGCTGATAAGCACGCCAAACAGCCAAGGCATTCTCCCGACATAGCCAGGCCACTCTGCAAGTCTTGATGGGGCTCGAATCTGCGTGGGATTCGTAGTAGTATGGAGCCCCGAAGCCGGATTCCGACGTCCGAGCCTGATTCTAGGTGCGGGAGATACAATGTCATAACAGAGCATTCAACTCACCCCCCAGCATGGTGAAGAAGTTGAGCTCCTCATGCTTTGAACTGCCGCAAGGCCATCCTACCGGCTAAAGATGTTATCAAGCATGTGCAATTGGCGATTTCCGTATACGCCGTCTGACCCGATTTGGTCCCGAGCCGTGCCCTGCGCATGCCTTCGTTATGACCCATCTGACACGAGGTACGCACTAAACTGGATAAACAGCCTTCCGAGCTTCATGAAATCCTTTGGCGTATTACTGTGGGGCAGGAAAAAAAAGTTCGAGAACGGCCTTGTATCGTGGCCATGGCGCTGGCCGCCCCCAACATGTTGGCTTGTAAATTGCGATACGGATGTTCATTAGAAGGCTACGGTCAGCTTCAAACAACTCTGAGCGTTTCTGCGCCTCCCGGTCGTTAGTTTTGTTTCTAAACTAACATTATACCGCCACCTTTTAGAATCCCTGGTATAGGTCTACTCTAGTGCGTATGCTTATTGCAAGTTATGAATATCGAGACAAATGCAGTTGGTAATTTGGGCACGTACATATATATTCATTGCCAGTGTGCCTGATCTGGTGTCTCGCAGATTGTACGGTGGTGGCCAGTATCCCAGCAGCGCAGACTCAGAGCCCTCGTTGTGTTAACGCCGAGGGGACCAGGGATTTACGTGGAAATCCTACCTGCAAGCATCAAGCACACGCACATACTGCAGCCGTGGGCTGGGTCCCGTTCCCTAGCAATACGACCCTACAACGTGGAAGTCTAGACATGGCCATGACAAAAGAGGTAACTTTGAAACATACACGCTGAGGTAACAGAGGGGTAGCACCGACTCCCGTCACAATAGCTAACTTTTCTTCATGTTCTTCTTGTTCCTAGAACTGGACAGCACCACCTGATGGTGCATGCGTCAACTGTCGTGCCCGCAAAGTTCGTTGCGGCCGCGAACGGCCTCGTTGTGGAAACTGCCGTCGCGATGGAGCTGAATGTGCCTACTCGTCACCCCCGAAACGTGTGAACCATATCAAAGTACTGTGAGAGCTATTATTCCGGTCTGATGGTTGATGGACACTTGGACTCATAATCTCGATGCTAATCTCTGACCTTTGACTCAAGATGCCAGAACTTTGAGGACATACAGTCGCGTCTAATTATGGTCCAAGAGGACCTATCGGTCCTGACGACCATGTTCAAGCAGACCAACATTGCTACCGGACTACAAACCAATCCTCCAAATCCGAATTCCCAGGACCGAGGCCTCCATTCAAAAGGGACGGATAGCGACTGCAGTGATGACACTGACGGAAACAGAGCGGGACATATTTTCCGGGACGCTGACACTCTGATCGAACAGTATCACGGCATGTGGACACTAGTTTCGCAATGCCACGATTTCGCTGCCGATGCGAAGTTTAGCATGCTAGCTAACGGCGATGAAACAATCAATAAGACCATTGAGAGCTACGTCAACAAACTCACACAAGACACAGTGGTTGAAGAATCTGCAGACGTGGGCAAGGTGGCGGTAGACGAGGCTGTTAGGTTGCCATCGAAGCAATTCCTCACCGCGATTCTTGACACCTTTTTTAAGCTTGTCGATCACACTACAGATATTTCCGAGCCCCAGATAACTTACAGAGCATTGGAGCGCGTTTACAAAGAGCCATTAGGACCTTCGTCTGAGCCTTGGGCCATATATTTCAATCTCATAATCCTAGTCGTCCTGGGCGCTGAGAGTCCAAATCTCATCGACGACCCATTTATTCGCCCTGCTCTACAGGCATCGCAAGTTGCAATTAAGAAGTCAAGCTTATTTCTGGGACCGAAGCTCATTAACGTACAGACCCTAGCTCTACTGGTGAGTCCTGCTTTTGGATCCTGGTTCTGCTCCTGGGAGTAATCCACTCGCTCACATCGCGATAATTTTTGCCCCGTACAGAGCCTCCTTGCCTATCATTGCCAGAACGAGGACCTCGGTAACAGACTATTCATGCAAGCCTGCATCCTGGCCAAAGCCATGGGACTGGATCAGTCCATGCATGGCCTTCAGGCGTCCGGCCTGTCAGAGATCGAAGCAGCAGAGAGAAGGAAGGTGTACGAATCCCTTTTCATCCGCGACCAGTGTGCGGCGATTACGCGAGGGACAATAAGCTGGTTGCCGAACAGTAGCAACAATACGTCCTCAGTCAGCCTGCGGGATGTGAAGTCTTGTTCCAGCTCAAATTACCAATCACGTTATAACCTCGCTCGAACACAGAGTGAGATGTCATCAGTCCTTAGTCCCGGGGCTTCCAGGAGTAACAATCAGCGTGCTGCTCTCTCTGAACTACAAGATCGGCTGATGGTTTGGTCACAAGAGATTGGCGTGCCATCTGCCACGCCTCCATCAACGATGGAGAATGTGTCCATACACTTGGCTTTCCTAAGCACGCGCATCCGGCTAAACCAGGCCATATATGGCTACGATTCTACGGTTGCCAACCAACTCTTGCACGACTCTCGTTTATGCTGCTTACTACTTGTAGCATCTTGCTGCAGACCAGTTACTGATGACCTTTTGCGGAGACTCCACTGCCTTCTCAGAGAACAGACATCTACAACATCGCCAGCGGAAAGGCAAGCACCCTTATTCGCATCACCATCGTCGTCGCAGTCATCGTCATCGCCGTCATCCCCACCGGCATCACCACTTCTAGCAGCCGCCGATATTGCTAGCATCCTTCCTCACTCTCCGCCAGGTCCCACTCTCTCTATTCACAAACTATGGGCATCTTTTCCTCCTTCTGCAGTGTTCATCTTGTCTAGGAATTTAATGCAGATTCGTCTAGTTCCTTCTTCGACCGGACATTCCGACCCGCCGAAATATCAACCCAAGGACAACCAACAGAGTGTGGACGCGCGCGAAGACCTCCTTTTACTCGATGCCTTGAGACAGATTACGCAACCAGTGGGTGCCACCGCAAATTTTCAGTTGTCATGCAGCACCAATAAGCTGGGGAGCGTGCTACAGGACGTTGTAGAGCTGCTAATCGCCGTGACCCAACCTCGAGCCAACTTGATGGATACTCTTACTCCCATGTCGTTTCTGCTACAAGAGCCCTCGCAAATATTTGACATTGAAAGTTTCGAAGCATACGGCCTGCCAAATGCGGAGACGTCGGGGCTTCCTTGGCCAGTTTCAAGTGCGCCGGATATAGGGTCGACGTCTGAATCTGGATATTCCTCAGCCGCATCCAAGTGTGTTTGGGATAAACAGGTCGAGCTACCACAGTTCTCAGATCAGTTTCCAATGGAAGGCTTGTCTTGGCCGATAAAATTTAGCGATGATGTTGCCGAGGAGCGTCAGGAATCCAGATCTGGAGGTATGGGAGACCAAGTATCCAGTAGGAGTAAGAAAAGACAGAGAGGGTCGGCAAGCCGTAGCAACTCGAGTGGCTACAGATCTGATAGCAGACGTAGTGACTAAGTCATCCGCCTACCAAGTTAGTATTTCAGAATGTCGCATAAAGTACTGGAAAAAAGGCCGGATAGCTAAACTATTCCTGCTAGTTTGTTGTCGATGTGCATCTGGTGTAAGATCTTCCCCTGGCAGCGAACCTTGCCTTGGTCATTGAGACGCAGTTTCAGAGGATTTGATTCCAGTAGATAGACAATAAAGACTTCACTGTTCTTCAATCTATGAAAGAGCTCGCTTGGAGCCTCTGGTAGCTAAGGTTGAGCGGCATATAGGGGCATTGCGTCCACGAACGCACATCTTTAGTCGCGCATTATATTACTATAGTAAGGAGCATGCTCCTGTTAGTATTGGTAGGCAATTTTCACTCCATAGCTCAAGTGTACTAAGATGCTCCGGGATTCGGCCGTCGGCAGTCGGCAGCTACAGCTAGAGTAAACTGTTAACCACCCCAAGGAACTCATGGCCAACTGAAGATTGAGCCTTCGGTATCGCAATACCACGCTTTGGAAATCGCTATTTTCCAAATCATAAAGAACTCCATATTCATTTTTACCCTTTTCAAGTTGCTCCTTGAATGTTTAGCGTGTTAACTTCCTGAGACTGTCTACCGTCCGGTGGAGCCAAGAGAGCGTCCACGTAGCTTTGATTTTGGACCATCTGTACTATGCAGTAAGCCTCCGGATCGGGCTTAGGACCAAAAAGAGACAGCAGGCTGGCAGACTTTCTCGGAGGCGAACCCTGGCCTGGTACAAGTTGGCTGACGAGACCAACATGGCTTGTACTTGCGCCTCAAGATTGTCGAGCTCAGATCACACCGGGCGCTGTGTGCCGCCCCGGGAGATGGGGCCGAGACGCGAGGTATTCAATGGCTATCGGAGTTAAGCTGAGGGCGACTGACGTACCAATTATAAAGACCGGAAGCAGCATTTGGGGCTGATTGTGTAACTTTGGTCGGTGTTTAAAAGCACCAGACTGGATACAAACCTCCGCTTACTTAAAGAAAGAGAGGGCTGACGGAAATGCATAAGTACATGTAACTGAACGCCATTCCATCTGCTGGGCGAGTTGTTTCAGTTCTCCATCCATCCCAAAATATCGAAAATCCACACCGCAAAATAGCACAGAAAAGCCGTACAGGAAGAGACAAAGATGGCCATCCTACTCACTGGCGGCGCTTACGCCAAGACCTCCCAGCGCATCGCCAGTTTGTGCAGAGAAGCCAAAATTCCTTTCCTTTTTGCTTCCCGCCGCGGCGACTCTCCTCCTCCTGAAGATACTACGACTTCCGGCCCTAATGGGGCTGATGCCCCGGCCGTGCGGTTCGACTGGACTGATGGCGACACGTATGCCAACCCATTCGCGTACTCCTTCCCCACTGGCGATGTTATCCGAGCTGTATACATGGTCATGCCCCGCGTGCCGGAGCCTGATAAACACATCAATTCATTCATCGACTATGCTGCCGCACGTGGGGTCAAGCGATTTGTGCTCATGGCAGGCACGTCGGCCAGTCTGGGCGGGCCCGGTCCGGGCAAAGTTTGGCAGCACATGGTCGAGAAGGGCGTCGAATGGGCCGTCTGCCGCCCGACTTGGTTTATGGGTACGTATGGGCACCTTGTCGCACAATGATTGAACCTGGAGTATGTTTGTTGTCCTGATGAGAGAACCAGTCTTGGGCTGACCAAGCAAACCCGTCTCTTTGGCCTCGCAGATAACCTTTCCGACGGTTTTCATCTCAAGACTATCCGTGAGGAAGGCACCATATACAGTTGTGTCCGCGATGCGAAGGTGCCCTTCATCAGTTCTTTCGACGTTGGCGGTGTTGCCTTTGCTGTCTTGACCCAACCGGAGTCGCCAAACAGAGATTACCGCATTGTTGGACCCGAGCTGCTCACGCATGATGATGTAAGTGCAATCTATTCATTCATGATGTTTGTTTTTCTTGAACCAAAAACGCATACTGAACACTTATTCAACCATGTAGGTGGCTGCGAGGCTGAGCACTGCTCTGGGTCGCCCAATTCGACATGTTAGCATGTCGCCTGAGGACAGGCTTCATCATATGACGAGCACACTCAAGCTCCCTGCTCCATACGCCGGCTTCATGGTAAGCCTAGAGAAGCTCGCTGCGCGAGGCGCCGAGGACTACATGGACGACACAGTGGAGCAGCTTACAGGCAGCAAGCCTGTGGATTTGGACTCTTTTATAAACCAAAGGAAGCCAATCTGGACATAGTTCTGAGATTAGATTCCTGGGGAAGACCTGATTCAGTGTCTTTGCTAAGTAGCGAACTCTATAGTGCGGTGTAGATTCAAAGATTGCCTCTTGAAACAGAATTGGAGTTTAAATCATTTCCTTTGAGTGCCCTCGCGATAATTATGAACCAGGAAGATTAACGGCAGCAGCCCATGTTTCGATAGTCATACTGGTAGCTCTAAAACATATTCAAATTATAACAGTTGAAAACAAAAGTTTTTATTTATCTCATCATGCCGTTCTTACTTCTTCTGTAATAACATTGCGCCCAAATAATACCTGCAAGCAAAATAGGGAAGGCGTACAACATCAGGTCAATAAGCTAGCTATCTAGAGTGAGGGAATGAATGATCCTTGCGACTATCCGCCTTCACCCTAATCTACTGGATTGCTCCTGGATGCTCGGGGGGCTTGAGACTGGCTCCCGCCGCGAAGGGGCAGTGAAGAGACTCTCTCGTATTACTGCACAGGGGTTCATATCTAAGAGCTGACATACCATTTTGTCCCTCAGTTGGAGAGAAAATAAATAGATTAGAGCAAACAGAAATTTTCGCATTGCTTTCTTCAAGGCACAAATATTGTATGCTTGATATTACCGCTCACAGGCTATTGCATTTCATTGTGAGCTTTACGCTTCTTTTCGCCCGCCATACCCGTCTCCTCCAGTCGATTCACATCTTCAGGTGGCAACGGAATGGTAGCAAATCTCTTCAAGGCCTCGGCGTTAACCTCGGGTGTTAGAACATTGCCCTCACCAATAAGGTTCTCAAGATGCTCGAAGTAGCGCACAAAGAAACCAGGTGTTGCCGTGTTTATAAACACCGCCTCCTCATCAAACGGATTGCTGAACTTGTGCGGCAGGCGGACGGGGACTGTGACCATTTCGCCAGCCGTGACATCCACGCTCGGTCTGCCAGGGACGTGGAAGCGGACTTTGCCTTTCTAGTGTGGAATTAGCAACGAGCTCAGATCAGACTGAGAAGCGCGAAAGAAGCAAGGTCAGAAGACACAACTTCTTCTCCATTTGTTCTTTTGGTTGGGGAACTGGCTTTCACGTAAAACCCTTCATCATGCATTTCGTGGAAATGGAATATCGGTCCTTCGCTGCGTGGTGGAATTAGGCTTTCGATGACCGCGAGACGGTACTGCGTGTTCGAGCCGTCTTCAATAGGACGCCACAGGTCTGATAATGCAGTTCTTGCCTTAGAAATACCATTATAGAGCGTTTCTCGGGAAGGGTGGAAATACATTGACCGAGTCTTCGCCATGGAACGTTTTCTGGCTTGAAGTGGTTGACTTTGAGCGTCGATGCGTACTCTTCATGTTGGGCGTCCATATTAAATTGTGTAACAAGTAATAATTGAGCAGCTGTTTTAGAGAGAGAATCAAGATAAGACTGACGGTTGGGTTAAGAATTGTACCATGATCTCCTTGTTTTAAAGCATCCTTGGAGGTCTCTGACGCAATTACGGAGTAGATGCTGTCGTGTAGCTGGCTAGCTCGCTCAGTATTGCACGACCCACCGCCCGCGACCCACGATCCGGGAGCCGGGAAGAAACTTGGCACTTCTCGGGCGGGGTTTCCTGAACAATTGGAGATCATCAGTCGACCGGCCACATGTTCGGCGGCCGGAGCCCGGACGCCGAGATAGAGTGGGGCATTCGGCCGACCAAGTTTATACGAGACTCTATTTGCCCGACCTCACGTCCAATATTCGGAGGCTAGTCTAATAAGCGTGAGGGGATTATACGTTTGAAATATGCACAGCATAGGCCCCCCTCTAGGTTAGCCTCTACTGAGTTTTATACTTTGTTTGAGCGATTAGATACGCATCGTGATCACACATCTGTCCCTTCTTCGGTCTTGAGTATCTCTCCGATCAGACTCTTTGACAGCAAGCATTTGGAATACCCAGCCACAATCTTGCACCTACTCCGCCAATGATGGAAGCTAAAACAATCAAGCAATATGTGGCTGTTAAGAAGGGCGGCCCCTTTCAAATGGTGACTGGACCTTACCCGACGCCACGACCAGGTGAAGTGTGCATTCGCAACCGTGCAGTCGGCCTAAACCCACTGGATTGGAAGAATCTGTACCACGGCGAGATGGTTAAGTCCTGGCCTGAGGTGTTTGGAATCGACACTGCTGGCATTGTGGAGGCTGTAGGTGTTGACGTGACTGCATTTCAGCCTGGCGATGCTGTGATGAGCCTAGCAGGCCACGGCGGATGCGCGGGAGCGTTTCAGGAAGTCACTACAGTGCCAGAACACTTTGTCTGCAAAAAGCCAGTAGCTTGGACTTTTGAAGAGGCTTCATCTGTTCCGTGAGTACCTGAACCTTTGAGCACATTGTCTCGGAAGGTCTAATATTACCTACCGCAAATGCTAACAAGACTTGCGTCAGTATTTGCTACCTCACGGCAGCCGCAGCCGTTACCAAAGCGTTGGGCACGCCACTTCCCTATCTCCGGGAAGATCTGGGCCCGGGAAGAGAGCATGTTTCCAATGGAAATGGTGTCACTATACCCCCCATCCGTAGCGTCCTGGTTGTTGGTGGGAGTTCTGGGGTTGGCGCATCGGCTGTTCAGCTACTGCGACAGGCATTGCCGCTGGCCACGATTCTGACAACCAATTCCCCAAAACACAATGACCATATTGTGAAACTGGGAGCGACGACATGCATTGACCGTCATGATCCGAACATGGTCACTACAGCCAAGAGCGCTTCCCCCGCCGGCGGAGGAGTTGATGCGATAATCGACGCAGTGGGAGGTGCCGCAGACAATGCCAGGCTTTTCGACGCCCTGCGCCCGGATGGTCCAAGGGTATACAGCCAGGTGTTTACTGGCGACAAAATTGCCATCCCTGATGGCGTGTCATCAGTGGCCGTCTTTGGGCGCATGATGTTCCAGCTCCCAGGAGGAATGCTTACCATGAGCAAGCTCGTGGAGCTTGTGGACAATGGAAAATTCAAGCTCCCATTACAGATTAGCATCGGTGGAAAGGACTTGAGGCGATTGGCACGAGTTTGGAGAAGCTTAAGGCCGGGGTGAGCAGGACAAAGTTGGTTGTGTCTCTGTAGATAATAATTATGAACATAGTTGTTCTTGCAGGCAAAGTAGCTTTCTTATTGTTGCGAGGAAATATATCATCACCCTTGGTCCAATCTATTCCTCTCTCCTGTCTTTTTTTCTTGATTTTTTGGGTCCAAACCTCCCAAATTTTTCCACGAATAAAGGCAACTGTTATTACTAATGCGTGGATATTTGTCTCCTTCAATGACTGTGTCGCCACCTGGGTTTGGCAAAAAGCACAACGAAGTCATCTTCGGGTGAGGTGCAAATCTGTTTCGCCCTGACTGATCAGATCGCCACACCTTCGGCATTGTGTCTTGCCATGCTCTCCATTTTTGTCCTGAGATGCTCCAAGTGGACGAGATGATCCTTCTCTGTCAAGTCCCATTCACGTTGCATGACCTCGCAGACCTTGTCAGATCGAGGAATGATAGAAGCCTTGAAAGGGAGGGGTTGAGAGTTAAAAGTGTTAGTGAACGCCATGGCGTCGATCGGGCACTGCAGCGGCACCCCGTCTTTCACTTCGTACGCATGTGCGAAGTCGTATGCCCACAGCATTCGTGCAGTGTTGATCAGCAGCGAATTTTTGCCCACATGCTGTCCTGCAAAGAATAATAATTAGCGGGGCACTGTACATCTGAACAATAAATACACACATACCAGGGCACACTCTCCGTCCGAAGCCGAAGGGGAACATTGGTAGGCTAGGATTCTCAATCCAACGCTCGGGGACAAAATGCTCTGCCTGTTTGAACATTCGCTCATCCATGGCCATGGCCCAGAGATTGGGGATAATCATCGATCCCTTGGGGATGCGATAGCCCATGTATTCATCATCCTCTGTCACGGCATGGGGGATCCCCCCGGGGATGACTGGACGCCACCGAAGAGTTTCCTTGACAATGGCGTGGATATATGGGAGTTCATCCAAATCCCTAAATGTTGGCATACGGTCGGGACCAACCACACTCTCTAGCTCCTTCTGCGCCTTGATTGCGACATTTGGATACAAGATCATGGCCATTACAAAGGCCGAAAGTGCTATCGCCGTTGTGTCGCTACCGGCTTCATACAGGACTCCCAAGATGTATCCAAGCTCTGTTCGTGACATATTTCTACTCTCTTTCATTGCGAGCATGTTCTTGGACCAGTTCCAGCCAGGCTTGTGCTCCGCCGATGCCACAAGGCCCCTTAGGAACGAGGACTCGAAGTCGTGCATCCTATCAGCAGTTCGCTTCCACGGTGCCAATGCCCGGGGGAGCACGTTGACCCAAGGCAGGATGTCGACCACCCAGGTGCACAGAAAAACCTGGTTTAGCTCCTCCATGACTTGATGTGCGACTTTGAGTTCCGGCTCATGCCCCTTCGGGAGCCTGATTCCATAGGCAAGGCTGTAAATAAGACTCGCGGAGTAGCGGAAAAAATGAAATGAAAAGCGCTCGCCAGCATCCGCTCCGGACAGGTCCAGCAGCAACTGTCTACTCTCCAAATCATGCAGAGGCCGGTAGGCATCCGATACGCGCACGTTGAGTACTGATGCGTGCAGCTTGTGATAGGCTCGCCATTGGGCACCATACGGCAGGAACAGGATGCGAAAATTTCTCGAGATGCACTCCTGTATCATGGGTGCCCGAGGACGGGAGCTATAGACTGAGTTGCGCTTGTCCAGAAGATCACGCGCAGCCTCTATGGATCCGACCATGACTGCTTGCTGCGGACCGAACTGCATGGTGACAAGCGGCCCATAGCGCTTGAACATTTCCGTATATCCTCGCCATGGGTACGTCTTTGGAATCTGATGGATATTTCCGATTAGAGGCAACGGCCGCGGACCGGGCGGCATGCGGCGCCAAGACTGATATTGTTGGACGACTGATACAACGAAAATCAACAGAAATCCTAGGGCGAGCGCCCATATGGCGTTCCGGGAAGAGACAAACACAGGCAAACCCGAAGAGTCCATGGTTCGAGCGGTTGACATTGCCATCCGTCGATTACCGTTGTTTTACAAATCAGTTCCTGACAAGGAGTCAGATCCTTTGTATATGTACAACGGCCAAATCCCCGCTTAGTAACATATGTGTGACATTTGATGGCATCGGCATCACACGCCAATCCAAGCACGGCCTATTCTAGCCAACAGAAAGCCAACATCTGCCAGCCATGGATTAAAATGACTCAGCATAGAAGAATGCATAAATTCGCCCAAGTAGCCGCGATCGGTGATGATTTGGCCCACGGGCAATACGCATGCGTGCAGTATCGGCCCTCGGCTTCCGAACGAGTCGCCCACACCACGGTGTGACAATCCAGCAACCGGAGGCCAAGCGCCAAAGCCATACCGGCCATGAAGATGAGCCTGTCCGAACTGTTTTGTTGCGTTTCTGCCAATGGTTGAAGATGAGATACCCAACTCTTCTCTCCCATTGTTCTGTCATCATCTCGGCTCGTTCCGTTTCATCTCGTCCCGTTTTTGACCCAGGCATGGGAAATTGGGAAGTGTATATCAGTTTCCTTTTCCTCCGAGGCCCAACGCTGTTCGTGTCGGTAGCTGGTAAAGTTTTCCCTTGAATACAGAATACAACTGGTTCCATCACTCGACTTTGTTACTTGCTGCCATGACTCTGCTTCCACGCTTCCAGCTGTTCGAAATCGAGGATATGCCATGGTGCCCGTCATGGCTCCGAGAATATTCCCACCGATCTCTTCACCAAATGTGGAATACAGTCGGACCAGGCAAGAAAAGTTCGACTGCTGCCCAGGCTTGTGACATTATCGTGTCCAAGCTGCCCTCCAAGCCCAGTGCCTACACATTTGTTGACGCTTGTGCGGGTGCCGGTGGCCCAACACCTATGCTAGAGAGTAATCTCAACGCGCTGTTACCTGCAACTGGCGGCAAACCTGTGCGGTTCTTGCTGGCAGATTTGTACCCGGATTGGGCCGCGTGGAAGAAGATCACTTCGGCCTCGGAAAATATCTCATACATGGACAAGCCCGTCGACGCGACGACAACAACTCGCTATGTCGATGATAATACCCTTGAATGTCGCCTCTTCAACCTCTGTTTTCACCACTTTGACGATGACCAGGCCGCCAAAGTCCTGCAGTCCTCTGTTGAAGGCTCTGATGCATTTGTGTAAGCTAGCCCAAAGCCTCGAAGCCTCCTCGGCACGGCGCCTTTTCCGGACTGTCCAAACTGGCGAGGGGATTGATTCGTATCTGATAATTTCATCGCAGAATACTCGAAATGACTCAGCGCAGCATGCCTGCCTTGATTAACACGTCCATTGTGATTCTATCTCCGATCATCACAACGCTTCTATGGTTTTGGTGGTCTCCTCTGCATATTCTTTTCACCTATATCATTCCTATAGTGCCTTTATTCTTCGCCTGGGATGGCTACGTATCTTGCATTCGCACAAGATCCGGTAAAGAAATTAGAGCTCTGATTGCAGAGCAGGAGCAGCGTGGTCTGGACGTGAGCGATTGGACTTTCCATCACGGTGAGACGAAAGTTTTGCCGCCGTTTGGGAATCTATATTGGTTCATGGGGGTTAGGAAGCGAAACCACGCACAGTAACTCAGGTTTTGCTTGCGCACACTTTGTTTTTGCGCTTCTTACGGCATTCATATGTGTAACTCCACAGCCGCATGGATTGGCGGGTGCAGATCAAGCTGATAGAACACTTGAATGTCTTGACAAGAACACTTTGTGCAACGAATAAAACTATAAACTTTTATGTCATAGAATCTAAGGTAGCCTCGAGTATATTTCACAGCTGAACAACTCTCAAGCGGTTTTAAATGGTATAGATATGTACTCAAGTTATTGGTTCCAAGAACTGGCTTGCTGTTAACTTCTGGTGGCTGCGGATCCCAATTTGTAACTCTCATTGTGTTTTCCTACGATTTTTTTAGGCAAGGAGGGTTTGAAAAAATCCCAGAAATTATTTTAGGTATAAGAAAACACTTTGGCCTTCTTTATTGTCATTTCCATTAAAGGATCGCCCTGTAACACTCATATGTGGCGTTGAATTGACACTAATGTACCCATGATATGCCTCAGATCTTGGTCTTTGACAGGGGCGCTGGCCCAATAACCGTTTGTGTTCACTGACTCTAGAAAGGCTTGTACCGAAGTAAGTCCCCGAATGACTCTCACTGGTTTTCCTTCCGGCCAAATCATACCCGACAGCGGCTGACTTGGGAGAGTGGGCTTGAAAGAATTAAGCTTCTGATAGTGATCTTGTTGTTGCACAAATCTAGGCCCAAATACATTCGTGAACAAGTGCGCTGAATGAATGCTAAACGTCAAAGCGATCGACTTTGGTAAATCTTGTTGTTACGTACAATTTGAGTCCTAGCAGCTCGTATATGTTTTACGAAATGAAATTTTGGGTTTCTACTTAAGCCTAATGATACCAATAATGCGTATATCATCCAAAAGTCTTTAATCGGGGCAACGACCTAGATCATATAAAAATAGGGCCAGAATTGCCCTTTAAAGATTCTTACACTTGAAAGTCGAGATATTCGCCGACGGAAACGCATTACAAATTCGTTGATCCTTAGGCACAGTTGATAAAACATTGAAAACATCCTATAATTCCATCCTTCCCAGACCTGTGATATATGACTGTTTGTATACTGCCTCAAATCCTTGTGGACCCCTGGACCCCCTACACTTTGTCCTGGAAAGGCTCCTCAAAAAATTTCTCTTCGCTTCCAAGGCATTAAAGTACAGTCTCGGCACGTTCGGTTACGGAAATATACGAGGAAGAAGACGTTCAGTAAAATTCCACACATGGGAAGCTGTATGAGAGCTGAGCGCAGCGCCCGTGTACCATGTGTTTCTGTAACCTTGCAGTCCATCCAGGCGGCTGTAAAATCCGCCGGCAAAGTCGGAAGAATTGACATACAGGCTAAAGGGATAATGACTAGAGAATGCGAGCAAAGTCACTGGGGGCAGACCAGTTGTGGTAGGTAGGACGGTACGGCGAACACGTTCGACGGTTGCGACAATATCCCTCTTTATGTCGCGTTTATCCATATAAGCATATGAACCATAGCGGACAAGGTAGATGCCCTTCACGGCAGTAGGTGAGATCTGATACAATGCTGGTAATTTGGGTAGATTGAAGTTGGAGCTGTCCGAGTGGGCGTTGACAAACTCGTCCCTATCAGCAAAGCCTTCGGCATTTACTAGGCCGACATACCAGCCGTGTGATTTAAAATGTGAAAAGAGGTTGTACTCGCGACTGTCGAGGCCGAGGTGATTCATGTTCTCGATGGTCGGCGGCATCGTGACGAGCAATTTGGAGGCAACGATTGTCTTTTGACCCGAAGGGGTCTTGACAGTCAGAACCACGCCAGTCCCATTCCGAACAGCGCCAGTAACTCTCGATGAGACAAGTGCATCGGCGCCAAAATCAGCCTGGGCCTTCAGGTAGATTTCCTGGTTGAATCCATTTTTCGTCACATAAAACCCAGGTGATGTGGGCAGCTGGCCATCCAGATAGTCTATGTTGAGATATTTGAACACGTATAATGTCGGTTGAGACAAAAGGTCGCCCAATCCCTCGGTCTGAAAGTATAGACTATATATATTGGACTGGATGCCATACTTGGCGACGAAGTCACGGAATGGCAACGTCAGATCTTCAGGGACAGGGGTTGGAAGCTTTGTGTTCCACGCGAGCGCCGGGTACTTGTGAACTTGTTGCGAAAAAATGGTCAGATTGTTGTCTGGTTTGAAGTCGGGAAGTTCCTTGGACTTTGCAAAGTCGACGTGACGCGTGTTGCCGAATCCCACCTCACCCAGTTTGACAAGCTCAATCGGGATATTATAAAATCCAAAGAAGCGCTTAATGGCGTCGGTATCACCCCCATAGCCTTGTGCGCCGTAGTTGATGTGAGTATTCGTGCCTGGGACAGTATATGACGCCGTGTGACCTCCAAATTCACATCTGCTCTCTACAACGACGAACGAGTGGTTCATCTGACGTAAACGGAGAGCGGCGTAGAGTCCTGATGCACCACCGCCGATGATGGCTACATCCCTATGCATGACAGCGTCAGCGATGGCATACGTGGATGATGCCAACACCGAGAGTAGGAGAACCAGCAAGGTAGCTCCACAAGATGGGCGGTCTGAAGAAGAATACATATTTTGGTGACGATTGAATAGACGAACGAATGATTATGTGGAATGCAGAAAACGAAAGGTGAGACAGTGAAGCTATCTTTGATTTAGTGGCCAGTCCCAGTTGATCCTGTATTATTTTGGCCGGGCAGAGAGTAGCCTCATATACTTTTACCCTGAGACCCTGCTGAGCGTCAGTATCATAATTGACCGACGATGCAGGCATGCGATCTCAGATTTCCACGTGGTTTTCCGCATCCAGGTTGTACAAAGATGCGACCCCTGCATGGAATAAGCCTGGAAGTCCTTCCTGTGTAACAGAAGGTTCAGCTAATTTTAGGTATACCAAGACGTAAGCAAGGCAGCAGTTACTCCGATTTCCGATTTCCGCTGCTAGGCCTGATGAAAATTGTATTCAGTTATGGACTAGGTCTCAGATCTGGACTGTTGCTATGTTTCGGAGCCCGAGGCCCGCAGCACTAAAATCCGCAACTGTGGCTGCCGGAGCTCGGGTTGCATCGACTATTTTGGGAAGTTAAGGGTCTGAGAGTGGCAGAATTATTCGTCAAATTTAGTAATCGACTAGCGATATGGATGCAATTGTCAGTCCGGCGAATTCCGTTGTTTGCAATTCAGAAGATATTGAGAAAAAATGGGATGAGAAAAAATGGGAAGAGAGCACTTGCAAGAGCTTTTCTGAAATATTTTCCTCAGACTGCCAGTCGATTTCTCGGTTGCCCATTATTAGGCATTGTCATCCCTTTGAATTTGGTTATAGTGGGAAAGTATCTTTGACAAGTCGCTGAAAAGAAAATGAATCCTTCCAAAGGAAACGAGCTTTTAAGCGTCGCGGAAGAAATCGTTTCGCACGTCAAAAATCTCGCTGAATACCTGTCAACTCAATCAATTAGCCCCCCCAGTCTCGACGTCGGTGCGCGCACCAAACTCTGGACTATACACACAGGGGCAGTTGAAGAGCATCGAGCAGCCATCAGTGGTCTCACACAACGGCTGGACAAGCTACTGCAAGGGCCCCATGGTTTTCTGCATGAGTACGTTTCGACGAACTGGGAACATGGCGCCTTGTACACCCTGATTGAATATGGAGTGTTGGAGGCCATGCCTCTTCACAGGGTTGCTACCATTGGCCAACTCGCGGAAAATACCGCTTTGCCTATTGAGAAGTTATTGCGCATTTGTCGACTTGCTGCCTGTGCCGGCATTCTGAAGGAGGCCGACGATGGTGTGTTTGCACATACAGTTATCTCAGAGGAACTAGTGCGAAACGCGGGATTTAAGTCATTTATTGCCTTCCAGTAAGTCAATGACGACTTCGTGTCCTGTACATGAGCTCAGTTGACCGAACATGTCTTTTCACGAAACAGACTCTATGAAACGAGAGTTGCCAGTGCTCACTTGGCTGATTCTTTGCGCCGTCCAAACCCATTTTGGACAGGACAGTCCGCCTTTGAATACGCGTAAGCAAATATAGCAGCTATGTCGCCAAACCCGACTGACTTCGACGCAGATGGGGGAAGTCAATGTACGAGTGGCATGCTGGTCACCCTGAAAAGGGTGACCGCTTTGCTAAAGCCATGGAGAGCGTCTCGAAGAGTAAGAATCCATAATCAACCGTCATGAATGAAACTAACTAACAATAAGAAGCTCTTGATCCAGGCAATGATATGATAATGAACTGGTTCTCTAGTCATCCCAAGCTTTGCGAAGACGAAAAGTGTTTAATTGTGGATGTCGCTGGAAAGACAGGCTCCTTTGCTATGGATCTCGCCAACACTTTTCCCAAGCTTCACATTGAAGTACAGGACTCGTCTGCTGCTGTTTTGAACAAAGGCAAGGAAATCCTCGCGGCAGAGCTCTCTGGGAGAGTGAAATTTCAGCAACGGGAGTTATTCTTGACACGCTCTCTTTTGGAGCACACCGAAAGCGACAGTGATGGCAGCGTACCTCTCGTCTTCCTCATGCGCAGTGCGATGTGGTGTCACGACGACGACAATTGCATCAAACTACTAAGGAGCTTTCTTCCTGTGCTCCAAGCTCCCACTCGTCCAACACTTCTCATCAGCGACCTAGTGTCGCCGGCTTTGGGGACTTTTGAGCCGCATGTGGAGAGGGCATTCCGAAGACGAGACGTGACGCTGATGACAATGCACAATGCCAAGCAGCGAACATCAAATGAATGGGTGGCACTATTAAAGGAAGCAAGTCCACGTTTCAAGGTTGAGTACTTCGAGCAGTACAGTTCACACAGCTGCCGTGGACTGTGGCAGGTTCAACTTGATAGTGAGTAAGGTGGGCAACGAAATGGGGGAAAAGGGGGAGAAATGGCGAGACTGATATGTAGCATAAATATCATAGAGGTAAAGAATCAGTCATTACTTTAATGGTTCTTAGCCGGAATGAACATTGATGTCGCAAAATAATAAGTTCCAATTGCAGGAGCGATACGAAACGCTACCTTCATTTTACTCTACCGAATGGTCTATTTAGAGACTACAAGACCGTTGGTAACGTGGATCTCATACCAACCAGTCACGAACTTTGTCCTCTTCCCATCGGCAAAGTTTACGTGATCCGGGTTCACCACATTAATCCAGTGCGGATCCTGACGCACCCGAAGATAGTCCTGGATATCCCTAAAGACAATTTGAACGACCATGTCGCAATCTGCCTCCTTCTCGGCGGTAATGCCGGGGTGAATCTGTCCCAGTAGCGCCCGTGTTTGTGAAGTATTATGTTGCTATATCACGGACAGGGTATCACGGTCAGCCATGGTGGTCTAGCTCAGCTTTAGGTGTCGTGCAGCCGCATAGGACGGCCCAAGTGGTATGCCCTGGGCTTACCATAGTGTAGGAAACAATATGATTCTTTGCAAGCAAAGCCTTGAGATGACCGGCATGGCTCTTGCTAACATAATCATGATACTCTTTTTCATCCATTCCCTCTTTCTTATACCCAAAAATCGTGATGGCATAAAGCTGCTGTGGCTGGCGTGTTGAAGTCATCGTGATAGAGTGACAGATGAGATCGAAAGCTTTGATAAAATGATATTCAGAAGAGATTCTCTATTACACATGCACAGAGAAATCTATAACTAGCCAAAGAAAAGATGGTAAATGTTTGGTGGAGAATCTACAAACTGAGAAAACTTGGGGAGAGGCCACTTATCCTTCGGTGACTGTTTGAACCATCGGCCAAGAGACCCGACGAGCGCCCGGGTCATCTTGGCCGTCGGGGATAGTTCTGTCAGCGAATTGCAAAGTTACCAACAGTGTTTAAGAAATTTGTGGTCCGACTCGCTGTCAAGTCCTTGGCCTCGGAAGACGGAGCCCGAGTGATTGTGGGCACTCGGACAACATCCAGATAAGCAAAGCTGAACACAAAAGTTTAAAGGGGCCTAACACGCAAAAAGAATCTTAAAGATCAGGCTTTACGTTGTCTATGAGACTGTTTGAAGTACGAGACTTGTAGTCTGCTAAAGGGAATTCCATGCTCATGTCCAGCATGACACTCGGACCGCCCTCTTTACTTCAGGGCCATGAGCCCCAAAAGTACGAGGTGCTTCTATTTGGCGACTTGTCTGCTTCCGGGTTCGAGGAGGATCTTCGGCGCCTATTGCATATTAAGACTGATCCGCTTCTATCTTCCTTCCTTGAGCAAGCAGGCTTGTCTCTCCGGAGGCTCATAGGTAACCTGCCCTCTCGGCAGCAAGACCTGTTCCCTCGCTTCACAACTCTCATTGATCTTGTTTCCTGGCTTGAAAGCACTCCAGGCGCGCCAGTCCTCAAATTTTTCGCGTTGTGTGTTTATGAGATTGCACAATTCATTGTGTAAGACGCCTTAGACAAAGAATCACAAGTACAGATTTTGATCTACAAATGCTAACTTAACCACCAGAAAATATGGAAGCAATTCCAAGTCCTATCCCTCGTCTACGGGCACATGTATTATTGGACCTTGCACAGGAGGCTTTGCCGCCGCAGCTATCAGCTGCTCCCAGACGCTGTCAGACTTGATACCAGTTGCTGTTCAAGCCTGCCTGGCCGCATTTAGAACAGCACTTCGATCATGGCTAGCAGGTCAAGACTTGTCTCCGCATCAACCCTCGGATACATCATCATGGTCGGCTGCTGTCAGACCAAAGGAGTTGAATGAATCAGTTGAGTCCCTGCTGAAGGAACTGGATACTTCAGTGGTAAGTATTTGTTCACCTCCATTGCCCACTGCGAGTGACTCACCGTTTCGCCTAGACACACCGTGAGCAGGCCAGGCTTTACATAAGCGTCACAACACCTGATCATCCAACAACGATAAGTGGTCCGCCATCATCATTGCGGGAGTTCCTTTCCAAAGCGTCTGAGAGGTTGCGATCACGGTACCTTGACATCCAATCGCCATTCCACACCTCGAGCCTATTCGATGAGTTGGATGTGGATACGATTGTTAGCCAGGTTTCGGAACTAGCAGCGATTCATGTCCCGAGAATTCCAATTCTATCCTCATCCACGGGAGAGGTTATCACAGCACCTTCCTTCAAAGAGCTTCTTCGCCTTGTGGTGGACGAGACTCTGCGGCAACCGATCCGCTGGGAGTTGGTGGCGTCTTCATGTCGCTCTCTATTGGCTGAAGCAAAGGCAGAAGAGTGTACCATCATCACATTCTCAAGTCTCGCTGCATCGATGCTTAGGAATGCCTTGGCAGTTGGTGAAGACAATGAGGTGAGCGTTGAACATGCAGCTCAAGAGCAGCACCAGTCGGCCAGCTCTTCGGGTAGCTTTGCACATTCCAAGATCGCTGTCATCGGTTACTCGGGTCGATTTCCGGATGCTGCTTCCAACGAAGCATTCTGGGAATTACTGCGTGCGGGAAGAGACGTCCATCGCGAGATTCCCGCTGACCGCTTCAACTGGGAAACACACTTCGACCCAACGGGCAAGCGTAAAAACAGCAGCCGCGTTAAATTCGGGTGTTTTATCGAGGAGCCAGGAGCGTTTGATGCTCACTTCTTTCACATGTCACCACGAGAAGCAGAGAACACAGATCCAGCCCAGCGATTGGCCATCACAGCGACTTTGGAAGCTATAGAGATGGCTGGCCTGGTGCGGAACCGTACACCGAGCACGCAGCAGGATAGAGTCGGCGTCTTTTTTGGTACTACAAGCGATGACTGGCGCGAGGTGAATAGTGGCCAGGATGTTGATACCTATTTCATCCCTGGAGGCAACCGTGCCTTTGTACCTGGTCGAATTAGGTGAGAGCTAATCAACCCGGATTTCTTGGACCTACTGTCACGCATTTTTCATGCTATTCGTATTAAGTCTAACCGGTTTCTCTATTATCTAGCTACTTCTTCCGATTCTCCGGCCCCAGCTTGAGTATCGACACGGCATGCTCGTCCAGCTTCGCCGCAATCCAAACTGCTTGTAGCTACCTCTGGAGAGGCGAATGTGACACTGCCATTGCCGGCGGAACCAATATACTTACAAATCCTGATAACTTTGCTGGACTAGACCGAGGCCACTTTCTTTCAAGGACTGGTATGTCTAACATCAAGCCAAGCCGAACTGACAGCATAGTGGTCACAATTTCATCTAACCTTTCCAGGAAATTGTAACCCCTTTGATGACGAAGCCAGCGGGTACTGCCGCGCAGATGCTGTAGGATCCGTCATTCTTAAGCGGCTTGAAGATGCTGAGGCGGATAATGACCCGATATTTGGTGTCATTGTTGGAACTAACACCAACCATTGCGGCCAGACCGACAGCATTACCCGTCCGCACGAGGGGGACCAAGCAAGCGTGTTCAAACGAATCATGAGATATGCCAATATTGACCCCCTTGACATCAGTTATATCGAGATGCATGGCACAGGTACCCAGGCAGGTGATATGACGGAAATGAATTCAGTTTTGTCAGTGTTTGTGCCAGAGACGAAGCGTACCCTCTCAGAGCCTCCCAGGCCACTTTATATAGGCTCTGCAAAGGCAAATATTGGCCACGCTGAATCGGCATCCGGTGTCTCATCATTGATCAAGGTACTCATGATGATGAAGAACAGCGAGATTCCACCACACTGTGGCATCAAGACACGGATCAATCGCAACTACCCCCTGGACCTTGCCGAGCGCGGAGTACACATTGCCCTTAGTCCAACCCCTTGGCTAAGAGAAAACAGTGTTTCTGGGAAACGTTCCGTCTTTTTGAACAATTTCAGTGCCGCCGGTGGGAACACTGCTATTTTGTTAGAGGATGCTCCCCAAACGACCAGGCCACCGGATGCAGAGCAAGATCCCAGACCTGTACATCTCGTTGCTGTGACAGCTAAAACCAAAGCCTCTCTACTCGGCAACCTCACGGCCCTTTCAAAGTGGATTGAGGAGGATCCAAATATTTCACTTTCTCACCTCTCTTACACTACGACGGCGCGCCGAATGCACCACAACTACAGGGTGATTGTTTCAGGCTCGGATATACCATCTATTCTGTCCAGCATCAAGATGAAGCTATCAGCATTGAGCCAGACATCCATTAAACCGATTCCACCGCTAGCAAAGGCTCCAAATTTGGTGTTTGTGTTTACCGGCCAAGGTACATTGTACACGGGTCTGGGCAAGTCGCTATATTTGACAAATGCCTCCTTTCGCTCAAGTATCCTCCGTTTCAGTCGCCTCGCACAAGATCAACGATTTCCTTCTTTCATCCCACTAGTGGATGGTAGCCACCCCATGGGGAATGCTGAAGAGATTAGTGCAGTAGTCTCACAGCTCGCCATTACCTCCGTACAGATGGCTCTTTTTGAGCTCTGGTGCAGCTGGGGTTTGACTCCCTCCGCAGTAATCGGTCATAGCCTGGGGGAATACGCTGCCATGTATGCTGCAGGCGTTGTCAATGCAGCAGACGTCATCTACCTTGTTGGTCATCGGGCAGTTCTGCTGGAAGAACGTTGCGTGCCTGGTGCAAACGCGATGCTTGCAGTCAAGGCTAACTCGGACTCTGTGATGCAGTTGACACGAAATACTGGATGCGAGATTGCATGTGTCAATCAACCAACAGGCCATGTAATAAGCGGCCCTATCGAAGATATTTCTCGCTCCGAAAGCAAAGCTGCAGCCGCTGGGCTAGAGACTGTCCGGCTGGAGCTTCCATTCGCATTTCACTCAGCCCATGTCGAACCTATCCTTGTCCCGTTCAAGGCAGCCGCATCACAGGGGGTCACGTATAGTGCTCCGACTTTTCCCATCATCTCCCCTTTAGAGTCCAGAGTGGTTCCCGCAGGCGAGATTGGCGTCTTTGATGCATCATACCTTGTTCGTGCCTGTCGCCGCACTGTTGACTTCCGAGGTGCTCTCGAGGCAGCTAGAAATGATGGTTTGGTCAATGAGCGTACCCTTTGGCTCGAGATTGGAGCTCATCCTACATGCAGCGGTATGATAAAGGGCACACTTGGAGCCGAATACAGCGCCTTGGCGTCAATGCGGAAGAATGTCGATGCATACAAGTCATTGGTTCCGTCACTTGAGAGTTTGTATCTCTCGGGTTTCAACATCGCTTGGAATGAATACCATCGCGATTTCCCGTCTGCAAAGAGGGTTCTCGAACTCCCTAGATACTCATGGGATCTCAAGAATTTCTGGATACATTACAGAAATGATTTTTGTCTAGCCAAAGGCGAAGGCCTTGTGCCTGCATCGGGCGGAGAGGTTCCTCCTCAACAAGCCCTTAACGCGCCCAATATTCCCCAGTACAAATACCTGTCGCCATCAGTTCAGAGGGTTCTCGATGAGGCTCATGACACAAGGTTATCATCACTGCTAATTGAGTCGGACGTATTCCACGAGACGTTGCTGCCAGTCTTTCAAGGCCATGCGGTAAATGGGGTTCAGCTCTGCCCTTCGGTAAGCTCCAAATCTACTTTCTTGACTATTCTTGAGTACTTACAATATGTGACTTAGTCCTTGTATGCAGATATTGCATTGACCATGGCACAGCACATGCTTCAGGGTCCAGGGTTGTCGCCTTCGACTACTGGCCTTGACGTGGCAGATGTTAAAGTTGATGCGCCTCTCATTGCTCAACCTGCAGAAAAAGAGCATCTCTTCCGCGTCTCTGCAAAGGCAGTTTGGAGTGAGAATACGATAACCATGTCAATCTTCAGTGTCAATAGTAAAGGTCAACGTACTACGTCGCATGCCAACCTCGAAGTGCGGGTTGTCCCGGAGCAGCGATGGATTGATCACTGGAAGCGCAATACTCACTTGATTATGTCTCGTATAGAAGCACTGAATCAGGGTATTAATGGGGGTAACAGCCATAAAATGAAGCGTGGAATGGTCTACAAGCTGTTCGGGGCAGTGGTCGAGTACAGTAAGGAGTACCAGGGAATGGAGGAGGTCGTCCTAGACAGCGAGAGGCTCGAGGCGGTGTCAACTGTCAAATTTCAAGTTGCCGAGGATGGTTTTGTGATAAATCCACGCTGGATGGACAGCCTTGGAGGCATTGCCGGCTTCATCATGAACGGCAATGATGCTGTCGAGAGCAAGAAGCAAGTCTTCATTAACCACGGATGGGAGCGGCTACGAATCGCAGAAAAGTTGGACCAAGCCAAGACATACTATGCGTACAACCGCATGCAACGGGCTGAGAAAACGATGTACGTGGGCGACACGTATGTCCTGCACGAGGGACGTATCGTGGCAGTTGTTGAAGGCGTAAAGGTACCATCACTCCGTGTCCCTTGGTTAACCGGCTGGTCTCAACGGCCGACGGATGACCGACATTTTGTGTTCCAAGATGCTGATAAATCTGCTTCAATAGTTTCAAGGGGTTCCACGTCATGTCCTTGATCATGTCCTGCCTCGCCAATCCTCGGACATTTCCCCATCAAGTAGTCTGGCGAAACAAGGGCATGCCTTCCACGGGACCCAGGAAAAAGTAGTCACTGTCCTGGATCAAAAGCTCCGGAAAGCATCAACAGAAGGTGCTTTGAAATCGGAACATAAAGTCGGACCCTCATCTACCCTTCTTGGCAAAGTCTTAGCCATCATATGTGAGGAGGTTGGACTCTCTCTAGTCGAACTTCAGCCGGAGAGCGAATTTGCTAATATTGGGGTTGATTCGCTCCTTTCACTCACAATTCTTGCGAGAGCTCGTGAAGAATTGCAGGCAGACCTCTCAGCGTCTCTTTTCGTGGACTATCCAACTGTGGGTAGCCTGAATGCCCTGCTTGGAACCCAAACGCCGGATTCAGGCGACGATGTACAAACACCAGATTCACGTTGTGACTCTCCCACCACTAGCTCTATTGGAATTACCGATATTACCACCCCGGTATCCGGAATCAAGCTCGATGTCTCCAGCGGCTTTACTGATCGAGTAAATGAGACACTCGGGATTCTGAGGAGCGCAATAGCCGAGGAAACAGGTGTGTCACTGGTCGACTTGGATCCCTCGACTGGTCTCGCAGACATAGGTATAGATTCACTACTTTCTCTCACCATCGTGGCCAAGGTTAGCGAGACCTTTGGTGACTCGATACCGCGAGATCTTTTCGCAAGCCACACCACGCTACAAGAAGTGGAAGCGGCGGTTCTAAGCTCACTTGGCTTAAACGAAAAGAAAGGCAAACAGGCAACCCCGCAAGCTTTCAGTGAACCACAAGGCCACCGGCTTCAAGCGCCTTTTCACGACAGCCGGGGTTTTGGAAATGACCACTCCGCGCTTTCATCGCCGCCCAACGCAACTTCCATTCTCTTGTCTGGGTCCGCAGAGACTGCGAGGTCTCTCTTATTCTTGCTGCCAGACGGTTCTGGATCTGCTTCTTCCTATGCCGCACTGTCGCGCAGCATCGGCCGCGGGATTGCTGTGTACGGTCTCAATTGCCCATGGCGAAAAACCGCCGAGGAAATGACGCGCCTCAATATTGACATGGCGGCCCTTGCTGAAAAATATGTTATTGAGATCCAGCGGCTGCTTCATCAACGTAGCAATTCTAGCACCCGCCCCGTTCGTTTCGCCATCGGTGGTTGGTCTGCAGGCGGTATCATCGCGGTCGAAGCCGCCCGCGTCCTCAGAAGGCTGGGACAGAATGTGGACAAACTCATCTTGCTGGACTCGCCGAATCCAATTGGCCTGCAGAATCCCCCAGAAAGGATGTACGACTTTTTTGACTCTATTGGGATATTCGGCGGGGGGCGTAATAAGATGCCTGAATGGCTGCGCTCGCACTTTCGTGAGTTCATCCACATCCTCGATAAATATGAGCCCACAGCATTGCCAGATGCGCCACCGACCCTCTTGGTGTATGCACGCGATGGAGTTTGCAAGGATCCTAACGGACCGCGTCCTGAAATGCACCCGGATGATCCTCGCGAGATGCTTTGGTTGCTGAATAACAGGACAGATTTTTCCGCTGGCGGCTGGTCCAGTCTACTTGGGAGGAAGAATCTTACTATTCGGGTTGTGGATGATGTCAACCACTTTAGCCTCATGGATCCGGGCCCTGCCATGAAGACGCTGGGTGGTATTATCGAGGGGTATTTGTCTTGAGGAGAACCGAAGACTACGGTGCAAATAGTGCTGGTATCATACTTATGATGAGATTGCCCACCTGCTATAAATTCCTTGGCTTAACACACATATAGATTGTAATTAACATTAGACAAGTCTTTTTGCCGATTGTGTTTGTGGGTGGATGGAACGAAATTCTGCCAGCTTGGACTCTTTAGAATGCGGAAATCAGTGTAGGAGAAAGTCCCTTCCTTTGATCTAACAATTACACTATTATTGGAGTTGCTTCAATTTGATATTATCAATCCCGGGTTTGAATGATCAACGCAATCGATGTTTGCTGCATGCTACCCTTGGCCCTGAGAGTCTGAAGATTGAAGTCTCTAGAGGAGAATGCAAGCTCAAGAACAACACGTGTGAAATGCGCCTGCCGGGTAGGAGGGCCTTTACGGACATGACTCAACTAGTAGAACGACATACAGAAGAGGATTCCGCGTCTACCAATCCTACGATTCTGGTTCTAAGTGGAACAGGGAACAGCTAAGATCTTCATTTCCGACGAGGCATCCCGAGTACCAAACTGCGCGTAGTTATAATCGCCATTTATTGCTAGAAATAGATCAAGCATGTAATCCGAGGCCTCTCTTGGCTACAATGCCTTGGCAGTTTACGAAAGCATTAAGTTTAACTGGACGACAGTAATCTCAACTTTTGAAAATAGAATGGAAAATAAATTGATAGTGCGCCATCTACAGTCTCGCCCATTAGTAGTTGTAACTCTTTGTAGAGCTTGAAGTGCGGTTGGAATTGTGGCCCCTGAGACGCAGAAACTACGTTCAGCCTCCGCTCTTCACGTATAATGTTGAAGAAAAGAAGTAACCCTCCGTACGCTGTACTCTTGTCAAGCTTTCATAACATAACCCCTGCCACTGCCGCCGCGAGTCCACCCACAACGCCAATTGCACCACCAGTAGGTACCATGGCAATGTTCCTGGTGGCAGACGTTGGTATTCCAGTAGCTGTCTGTTTGGCATCGGAACCTTTCCCGTTAAGGGCATTTGCAAGGGCGCTTGTTGCAGCAGCCAAGTCTGTTGCGGTGGTGCTTTCCACGTTCCACCTGGCGCACATTGATCCGGCGGCTTGGGAAAAGTCTAGGCAAAATCGTGCTTGAATTAGTCTGTGGTTCTGCCAGTATGGTTCAAGGTTGCTCAAAGCCGAGTCCGAAATGAGCCGGGTAAGCGCGAAGAGCATCATGGCCCTGGTGCTCGACAAGGAAACTTTGGCGACATACCAGCAGTACAAGGCGCGTCGACATTCTTTGCTACAATAATCGAAATAGCAGCAATGTGTTTGCAAAGGCAATCAAAGTCCTCTGCAGTGATGTTCGAGACGTCGCAACCCTCTTGTTTCATTCCATCAACCAGCGCGGAGTGGGCGCACTTTGGGATGTCTTTTGTGTAGCCTGACAAGCTGTTCAGGGCCAGCACACCTGACGCACTTGCGAGCAAAATTGCACATAACGTCGTGGTTCTCATGATTCAAGAGTATAGCAAACAAAGAAGATATAACGAGAGTGAGGAGTACACGGGAGAAGTAAAGACAGGCGGGCTTGGGAGAATCTTTGTATCAGTTGAAGTGTGGTAATACAAGCGCTAGGTCTCATCTCGGACACGTAATAAAGGGCCTTGCAATTTGGGGGCTGATATTTTGTCGCCTCGATTGGGCTGGATCTGCATTCGACAAGTTCAGCTCTGAAGCTGATGATGACATGGGAGCGGAATTATCGAAAGATGAGACAGCTTCATAGCCAATGATACCCAGTCAAGGGGCTGAAAAATTGCCAATTCTGCTTTAAAACAAGACAGCCCTTCATTTGACGACCAGGCAAATTCATCTTGCTTCGCTCATATAACGCAACTAGTTTTACTTATTGACTTGAGTGAACACCTGCGAGGAACAAGTCTGGTTCAGGTAGTCCTTGCTGGAGTAGATTGTTGTCGACTACGCGAGTGTGTGAAACGAACATGTTTCCGCTACTATTTTATAGCCTGGAGGGTATATGAATGGGGTATTCGCCATGGCCCGGCCTTTAAGCTGTATTCGCCTGGCCTTGTATATCAGTCCAAAAGTCTCGAGACGCTGGTAGGTTGGTGTTAGGCAGGGCTTACCTCTACAATCTGACGCCATCTGTGCCGGGATAGCCGGCCACAGCAGGCTTTGATGCTCAACCAATCCGGAGATTCGCATCTTCTGTGATAAGAGGGCCTCTACTATCTCGCCCAGGCCGCGGTTGAATTCTGCACTTGCTGAGGCCTCAAATTCGTGCTCTCCCGTGTCCACATAAGTGTCTTCGTCATGGAACACTTTGGGTTCGTCGCGCTCAAAATAAGGCAGATCTACAATGAGCTTATCGGGCGATTTGTCATCCAATGCCCATAAGATGAGGTGGCCTTCCCTTATAAATAGTCGCTCTCCCGGCTTCAACAGGCCAGCAATAACCTTGGCCCACTCGCGGACTCGTGGAATCCGACAGATGGCGCCAATGCCGGTATACACCAGATCAAAAGTGCCCGGAATTAGCACCTTGAGACCATTATATACGTATACTTCAACAAACGAAACCCTCTCTCCGCCGCTCCCAGCGGTTGCCGAGGCTAATTCGGGACCCTCTCTCAAAGATGCAGGGGAAAAATTCAGTCCCGTCGCAGAGGCAGCGCCCAAATTGCTCAAGCTCAATGTGTCTGTTCCAATGTGGCATTGTAAATGAAGACACTTAAGCTCTTGAATGCTATCAAGAAGTCTATTGTCAAATTTGACCACATCGCTGATGTAGATCGGACATGTTAAGAAGTTGTTGACCTTGTAGTCTTTGGAGGCGGCGTGCTACACAATAGTACACATGGTCAGATATATCGTCTTGGATGCGAGACTGAGGCACATACAAAGGCAGCACGCTCGTCCCACCTCTCTCGGTTAATGTGTTCATAAATTTTATCCTCTCCCACCAGGTGTTGATTCGGTGCTACGCTCGGTGTTGTTGTGTTGGACGGCAACACATGGATTGTCTCAAGCAGGCGTTGTTCATCGAGCAGTTTTATGCAAACCTGGGTTCCAGGCGCTATACTCGATTCAGCTCGCCGGCCGGCTGTTTTGTCCAGCCAGATGGATGTAGAGCCGAGTCGATATTTGTTGGCCCTTGGCTGCAGAATGTGACTGTCACCGAGATACCGTTACCTCTAGCAGGATAGACAGCGACACTAGAAGCCTCGTAATTATGCCAAGTCTGGGCGACTCATGCAGGTGTAACTGTGCCCAATGCCATGGGTTGGATGTAATACAGTCTTTACAATGACAAATTAACATGACGCGGAACCTGCTGCGTCACAATTAAAAAGTTTCCCTGTTCTGAATTAAAGCTAGTAGTCCATGTTACATTACAAAAAAAAGGGGTACAACTTGTAATGACACCAACACTCCGTTATTCCATAAAAGATGCAAAGGCACGAGCCGGTGGTAATGGCAGCTAGGCTGCATGCCGGATGGCCACGAAATACAACGTCCTCGATTTTAAACCACCACCTTTTCAGGGTGGCCAACAGGAAGAACATCCTCCACAGTCTCGTCGGTATCCTTAAGATCGTCCTCAACCTCGACGTGGTCGGAAATCTTGAGGAAGATGGCCGGAGCAGCGATGACGAGAGAGGCTCCGAGCAAGACCCAATTGCTGATGAATTCCCTCATGAACGAAAGCTTGCGAGCATCCAAGTTGTTCATGACAGCTGCACCAACGGACTGTATGCCCTTGTAAAAGCCGACGTAGTTGGCCAAGCGACGACCGGAGTTGGAGAGAGCGCCCATGTACCTAATGCTTGCTTAGCTTGCGACAAGAAGAAAATTCAAGGCTTTGGAGCAACGGGCAGGCGAACTTACCAGTAAATGCATGCCTGCCAAACCGCATCGTAGAAACCGTAGAAGATGTACAAGAACATGGGACCGACATAGCCAGGTGTAGTCCAGTCAGTGGGCTCATAGTCCGGGTTCAACTCGACATTGACCGTCTCGCGCGTGTAGTCCTTCTGGTAGGCGTAGCCTCCGCCCCAAAGAGCAAAGGTGAAGACGACCAGAACAATCCAAGTCGCCTTGGCACGAACGGATCGGCGCACGCCCTGGACGTCGACGAGCACACCAGTCATCCAGGCAGCAAGAATCTGCGCAAGATAGTACAGGAGACTGTTTAGCGCCTTGGTACGCGTCGTGAATCGCGCCCCGTTGACCGCGTTCTGCTGATAGACGTAGAACCAGTTGGAGGAGAAAAACATGGGGAACAGGAGCACAACCAGCGGCTCAAAGCGGAGTGTTTCCCAAAGACCAAGAAGCTCACTCTGCCAGCTGGGGTTCTTCTTCAAAATGACACGACTGCCATCCTTTCGAACAATGTCATTGGCGTTGCAAAGCAGGAGGGCGAGGACGGCACCGCAAAACATGAGAACGATGAAGCCAATGTAGGTGCCATCGGTGACGGTCGCATTAGTCTTGACGTTGATGTTCTCGCCAAGAGGAATCTTTGGCACAAATCTTGTTAGTCGACTGCCATGGCAGCTGCATTACGGCGTGCGGGAAAAGGAATATTTCTTACCAAACTACCAATGACGGCACCCATGTTGAAAATGCCCCAGAACCAGGCAAAATAGTGGCCCTTTTCATGTTCATGGGGATAGGAAATCATGATGGTGCCCTGTGCCGTCCAGAGGAGGCCTGCACAGATACCCAGGAAAACACCGGCAAAGATGTTGAAGCCAGAGACATCGGCGTGGACCGAGGCGAGCAGGCTGGCGGCGTAGACGCAGTAGCCAATACCTCCGAAGGCCAGGGTATACTTGACACCAAGCTTGTTGATGAAGGTGCCGCCGAAGAAACCAAAGACTGCAAAAGCACTGTACAGCGCCGTGTTCTGTCCGATTCAACCAAGTCAGTAACAGCCGTGACGGGCAGCGGTCCGGTCAAGTTGGCCTTGGATAGTCTTACCATGTTGTCGGCGAGGGTTGCGTCGGTCTTGCCACCTCCTCCCATGCCACCCAGAGCGTTGAACATGCCGGGGCACAAGAAGCAGACGAATGACACCATGATGAGCTGGGTCTGGGGCGAGGCATACCATGGGATGTTGAAGCCAAAAATCCGACGCTGCCTGTATTTCCATCCCGCTGGGAGAGGGACGTTGACATCTCTATCGGCGGCAGCGGCTGAACCGTGGTCGGCAACTTGGTCGGCCGGCACGGTTGTGTCGGTTGGGTTCTTCTCTGCAGACATTGTTGGCCGTATCAATTGATTCGATATCGTCCCGGCACACAGGCAGCAACACGAAGGAGAGCGACTCTCGAGGCCACTACGGACTGCGGTGAGCTGTGGGCGTGCTGAATCGATCAAGTCTTGAACAGGAAGCTCAGGCCCGGGAGCGGAGCAGAGCACTTATTAAGAAGCCTTGGGACACGATGAGCTGTTGCCAGGGGCGAGAATTTGACGAATTCGATCCATCCCGTCCTGGCCGTAGTGCCCAGGATCATGTCCATCCCGCTGCTACCAAAAACCTGTCATGTACTCGGGATGAACTGGGGTGAATGGCACCATTCGCATCGGCGCCCGTGTAGCACCACGTGAGCTGACACGCTGACAACGTTGCCCTCGACCTTGGAGGATCAAGAGAGGCGTCCTCACGCCCGCGGGGGCTAACCCTTGGAGATGACTTTGGAGTGATTCCGAAGCCACCACAACGCCATTTGGAACCCTTGGAAGCCCTTTTCGCTACCCACACCCGCCTCAAGACCGGTTCATTCCCTGGCTCCCCGGCTCTCCTTGCCCGGGATGGTTACATTCCACCCACGGGGCAGGTTACACTGGTATACACAAAGCGCCGATAACTCGACGGCTGAGCGCTTCTGTTTGGCTCGTGTTGGGTAGTGGCGGCTTCAACGCGCCAGAGGGGTCAAGACGGTGTCGCGTGCCAATGAGAATCACTCTTGCTGATTTGAGGGCCAAGTTGTGGTTGAAGGTCTGGCTCGGGCGGGTGGTGGTCACGACGCGAACACGAGGACATGGGTCACGGCCCGAGGGACACTCCAGATGTCCCTTTTTGACCATGTGCTGCAGAATTTCTGCATTACCAGACAAACCTGGGTTGTTTGAGCGGATTTTGCTGCGCCAGCGGGAAACACTGACCTCGTCAGGACAGGGACAGGGAGAGTCTCAGACTAACCGGAGTCCGATTATGGAGAAATGTTTCGCATGGAGATTTTTGTGGAGTAACTTGCCATGGGTGTCCTGCCTGGTCTCTTGACTCTTGACTGATGGCCGGATGTTGCTGAAATTAATGTCCAGCATCCTGCTCATCGCACACATCACGGGCACGGCGGCACGAACCGACATTCTGCAACCAGACATGTCTCCTGGCAGCCGAAGGGCTTTCGCTTGGCGTCCGGGGGCGCGACATGACGAACCTCCCTTGAAGTGACCAGACACCTTGGACAACTCGGCCAGTTCGCCACGTCGACAGCCGCCCCGGACATTTCGCAATGCAACCGCAGCAATTGATCGGGCCCCGGCCAAGGCAAAGCCAATCGCAGCAAGGCAGCACGCTTGAGACACTTTGACAGGTCGCTTTGGTTGCTGTCCCATGGGGAAAAGGCCTCCCCTCCCCTGGGCCACGCTCCAGTCAAGACATGCGCACCGACGAGGGCAAGGATGCGGCATGGACTCATGACCACCTGCGCCAGGTCCTCCAGTCTTCAAGGTCATGCAACAAGATGGATCTATGATCTATTCTTTGGGGCCCGTGACACATGGCCATCAATTTCTCTCCACCGCAATATAACATTGTGGTGGTCGCCGACGGTAATAAGTTCATATCCCCGGCCTTCGGTGCTTCCATCCGCCACACGCCACCAAGTTACACGGCTCCTGGCCAGGCAACCTTTGACCAACTGTGAGAATCGTCGCATTGCCATGCACTGTTACCGAGAAGGCTACTGAGCCAGTTTCCCCTCCCCCCGAGTGCATATCCTTCAAGGTGTTTACTCCTAAATAAATGGTCGTTCTCCTCTCGACATGGACGCTCTTTCCGCAAGATAAATGACATGCGAGAAAAGCGCCCAGGGTGAGCCAAACAACAATCTGTCGAGACGCGACACCCACCCTTGCAGTGATGGAGAAAGATCAGGACGGCCCTGCATCTCTACCGAAAAGGGGGGGGCAGTTGCTCTCCTGTAGGAAGCGAATCAGGCATGATTCTTCTTGGGCCTTTCGATAACCTGTACAACACCGACCACCACTTCTTGGTGAACTAGACAACACATCGACAGTTGTGCGGGGCGTCATAAGAAAGCCAAGGAGGCTGTGAGCAAAGGGTTCTGGCACCAGCAACGCCTCCGCATTCAGCCACGTAACTAAGTTACATACCCGTTGACGCCTCTTTACATTCAGGGACCCATCCACGCAGAGTCTGCGTCCGACCGTGCTCTCGACTGGCCAAACCCGGACCGTGGGAGTTGAGCCGCTCTCCGCTCGAAATCATGTCACGCTGTATGCACTCGAGCAGAGGAGAGGCATGATACGAGACAAGAACAACCCTTGTGCAGAAACTTGGGTCAACCAAATCTTGAACACCGTACGGAGGACACAGACACCCTACCGAGTACAGCTGCTCAAAATAGTCCGCCGAGCACCGAATGATTCTATTTAGGAGCACCCAAGGTGTAACTTACCCCGTAGCATCCCCGAGAACACCCGGTGCCTGAGATGGCCGAGGTGGATCGATCGAACCAAGTCCGGGGTAAAGGCACGGGGGAGCATGGAGGCCCCAGATGTCCACCCTCGGCAGAAGTCAACATTTGAACATTGAATGGTGGAGTCGTCACAGGCGGTCAAGTCAATAGTACGGAGTACGTAGTGACGATATAAGAAAGCATCCTCCCCCGTGGGGTTGGGGTTGGCTCCTTTTGTCCTCTTCACAAGCAAGACTTTTAGGTTCTCGTCATTTCAAGTGACAGCATCAATGGGTCGACGACATGCCAATCCGCTGCATAACCCGCTGCATTATGCGGCACTGCAACCGCATTCCGGGCCCCCGGTGACCGCAGCCGCGGCTGAGCGAGCCCTTCCCAGCTACGACTACGGTACGTCGCCGGCCGGACTCTGGGGCACGGGTTGAGTCCACGTCTGCTAACTGTCTGTCCCGTCTAGTCATTGTGGGCGCCGGCGCAGCTGGATGTGTGCTTGCCAACAAGCTGTCCGAGGACGACAACGTCTCGGTGCTTGTCCTCGAGGCCGGAGGAGACAATACCAAGGTGTTGGAGACCAAGGTCCCGGCCATGTTCTCCAAGCTCTTCCACAGCAAGCATGACTGGGACTACTACACCGTCGAACAGGAGGCCCTGGCCTCCCGTCGATTGTACTGGCCGCGCGGGCGCATCGTCGGCGGCTGCTCGTCCATGAACGCCATGATCTACCATCACTGCTCGGCTTCCGACTTTGATGAGTGGGTTGCGGTCCATGGCTGCCATGGCTGGGGTTATCAAGACCTCGCTCCGCATTTTCGAAGCCTCGAGAAGTTCACGCCCAACCCGGCTCGCCCAGCCATCGACGCCGCGAACCGTGGCGATGCTGGCAAGTGGCAGACGGGCTACTCTTGGCTGTCCCAGATTGTCGAAGATGGCTTTCTTCCCGCCTGCGACGACGCCGGCATCCCTCCAAATAGTGACATCAATACCAAGGACGGCAGCCTTGGCGTCACGCGTCTCCAGACCTTTATTGACGCCAAGGGCCAGCGGTCGTCTCTGGCCACAGCATTCCTGACCCCGGATGTCCTGCGGCGGCCCAACCTGTACGTGGCCTGCGGTGCTCAAGTGACCAGGGTCTTGTTTGATCGGATCAACAGTACCAAGCCAACTGCCATTGGCGTCGAGTTCCAAGTCTCCCAGGGCGGCGAGCGTTATCAAGTACACGCCAAGCGAGAGGTGATTCTCTGCGCGGGAGCCGTCAATACTCCCCAGACGCTCATGCTGAGCGGCATTGGCCCCGAGGAAGAGTTGAAGAAGCACTCGATTTCTCGTGTGTTTGCCAATGACAACGTCGGGAAGCAGTTGAAGGACCACCTTGTCAGCAACGGCGTCTTTTGCAAGTCCAAGAAGGGCTCGACCCTCGACTACCTTGCCGACGATATCAAGGCGATCCCGGCTCTGGTACAGTGGCTGCTATTCGGCACCGGTCCGCTGACCAGCAATATCGGTGAAGCCGCCGCCTTTGTCCGGACCTTTGAACACGAATTCCCCGCTTCGGCTGGTGTGCTTCCCAAAGACTACAGCTCTGGTGACAAAGCCCCAGACTTGGAGATTATCGGTGCGCCAATTGCTTTTATCCATCACGGAGAGGAACGACCTCTGGACGACGCCAACGTCTTCAGTCTGGTCCCGATCGGCCTCCGGCCACAGAGCAGTGGCACAATCAGCCTCAAGAGCGCAGACGTGTTTGACCACCGTAAGTTGTACCCCGTACATAAGGCGAGTCCTCGATTATACTGACATTTTTCTTCTTCTTCTTTTCAAACTAGCCATCATTGACCCCAAGTATCTAACCGACGAGGAGGGCAATGACAAAAAGGTCTTGATAGCTGGACTCCGTCTCTGTCTCGAGATTATGCGCAGTCCTGCCTTCCAAAAGTACTTGGATCCCGTCCCCACGAATGACGATCCTTCGTCATACTGGTGGCCGTATTCATGCAGCGATCCGGACGCCGTTACTGATGAGCAACTCGGGCGCTACCTGGTCGAGCGGGCGTTCACCCTCTACCATCCTGTTGGTTCGGCGAGGATGGGACCGTCGCCATCCAACAGCGTTGTGGATGCAGAGTGCCGCGTGCACGGGACGCATGGTCTTCGTGTTGTCGATGCCAGCATCTTTCCGGAGCAGATTAGTGGTCATCCGACGGCGCCCATCGCGGCCATCGCACACAGGGCCAGTGAGATGATCAAACAAGGCCACAAAACTGCCTAGGCTTCTCTGCCTGCCCAGGTGTGCGTTTGAGTTTCTTTCACTCGGTTTACCGCGTTTTTAGGTTGGGAACAGTGCTGCAATTTGCATCTGGCTTTGTCCTTGGATACCTGCTGAGGTAGTTGTCGACGTGGTTGGCTAGCAACGTATAATTGAAGTCTTGCGAGGGCCATTCCCCTCCAACCCCAAGGTTCCCTCTCACCACGCCAAGAAGTGTTTTTCCCTCCTCCTTCCCACCATTAGTTAAAATGGAACAGTAGATACAAAAGCAGAAGAAATCACCACAGGTCTAGCGATGACAAACAACATGACTTGGGGTGTGTTTCACTTCATCAAAGACGTGGGCGCTGCTATCCTCCCAATCATTGCACATGCCCAATCCATTTCACCTTGAACCTGAACAGACTTGACAGGTGTTTGTTACACATATACCGTCACCGTCAAATATCGCTATACAGTCTCTATTAGTAGGAGGCCTCCACTTTTGGCAGATTCATTCAACAACACGAGTTTGTTTTGATTGACAATCTTGATACATTCCGCACGATCCCTCAGTCCCATGTCCCAACTACGTAGGGCAAAAAAAAAGGAAGGCCCCGCAGATGAATGCGATCGCCCTTATTAAACACTGCCATTGCACTCATGAGCGAGAAGTGAGCCACGTTGGTGTGAATAGAAAAGTCCAGAAAGAGTTAATGATCAAAAGGATTGTCGGCCGCGCGAAGGAGAAAGTAGCCCCAAACAATGTAGATGACAGAAATCATTTCTTCGTACTCTTCCGCGCCGCCTGGTCCCCAGCGGGTAAGCAATTCCGAGACTCTCGGCAATGGTAGTCGTAGTAGGGCTACAGTGAAGGCCACGGTAAAGAAGACCAACTGCATGGCCCCGAAGAGTTGAATAGATGATTAAAACCATTGATATATTGATATCGAACATTCTTCGCAGAGACGGCTCCATCGGTCGAGGCATTGTCGTGAAAGGAGAGAATGATGGTTTGTACAGATGGATCAAGAGTGACGCAGAGCAGGGACAAACGATAGCATAAACACTTGACTTTGCGTTACAGTCAATACCATTTTTCACGGCCGAGGCTGCAGTCTGATGACGCTATCAAACTGTGGGTAAGAAAGCTCGACAGGGAAGCGGTCGACAAATTCGTGCGGGAATGGCAAAGGCTTTCGGGACGGGAAACGGCAATCCTGCTCTCGACCAAGACGTGGCCTATTACACGGGTACTAGAACTGCTCGGAAATGTATCTGGCCCCTTTCCAGCCTGTCGATAGCTTCCGTGATCCCCTTCTCATCCATCGGAAACGTCTCGATGACGGGCTTTATGTCGTGAGACGCGGCGAACTGCAGCATTTGCCGGTGAACGCCGCGAGACGCCACCAAGCCGCCTTGGACTCCAATGCCTTTTAGGAGCAAGGGCATATAGGGCATCTCCAGGTTTCCGCTGGACGCCGAAAGTGGGTAGATGCGAGACCTCGGCGCCATCAGAGGCATAATCCCTTCCCACTCGGGCTGGGCAGACGTCGTCACCAACAAGCGATTGAGCAAGCACGTGTCGTCGTCGATTTGCGCGTCGGCGACATGTTTCACTGCGACGAACCGGTGCGCACCAAGTGCCATGGCTTCGTCGCGCTTCCTGTCCGATCCGGAGAGAGCAACCACACGACATCCCATCTTGGCGGCAAATAGGATGGCCAAATGACCCAGGCCCCCGACGCCCATGATGCCGATAGTGTCGGTTGGCTTTACACCTTGCAGAGCTGTGTAGACGGTTGCGCCGCCGCACTGGAGAGGAGCCGCCTGCTCGTCGCTGAGGGCCTCTGGAATTTGGTGCAGAAACGCCGCTCGCCAGATGGCATGGGTTGCGAAGCTCCCCTGGTCGAGGCTCGCATTGCCGCCGTAAATCGATCGTTCCTTGCAGTAGATCTCTGCGCTGTCGAGGCATTCAAGACAGTGGCCACAGCTGTCGGTTTGATATCCCCAGCCAACACGGTCTCCCTTATTCAAGTGCTTGACGTTGGGGCCCAAGGCCTCCACGATACCAACACCCTCATGCCCCAGGACCATGTCGTTGTTTCTCTAATACGCCGAGTCAGAATGCTTCAACTCACCATACGTAAGAGGGGCTCACGTAGTGCAAATCTGGCAAGGTTTCATCTGATTAGCAGGCAAATCCGGGACGACTCCGACGCCGGGACAAAATACCTGTGCCACAGACACCCGAAGCGGTGACTTTAACGAGGACTTGATCGCCGGTGAGTTTGTCGGGTTTTGATGTTGTGCTTTGGACCAGCTTCCCGTCTCCGGACCCTTTGAAAACTGTAAACGAAAGCATCGTTGGAATAGTCCCTTTGGAAAGACTTGATCAATAATGTCTATTAAATGAGGCGTGAAAGAGTGCCGACGAGTGCGAGGCTCGAAAAGGATTTACTATATCAGACATGTGTAATACATCAGTTATACCAGCAAAGCCACAAGCCCATGGCGCCGTGTGACCCGAGCGTGCCGGATGAATGACGCACACACAATTTACCACACTTGATCGAAATCCGTATGTCTAGGCGCGTGGCTGGTATTCTTGTGGGGTTTGGCGAGGTGGCATACCGGATGCCATGTCCATGGTTTTGATGGTGTCGAGGTGAATGGTGATACCGGCCCAGCACTGCAGATGTAGAAACATGGCCATCAGAGCAAGTGCCCAAAACATCAATACCAATGTAGTGATTACATAGTTGCCCTTCATTCTAGAAACGATGGCCAATGATAAGCAACCCGTAACGCAGGCACAGGCAACTACATCATTTGAAACAGAGGCAAGCGGGGCATGGATGCAGGCTGGAATCACAACCCTGAATGTCTTTTGGCAACTATAGAATACATTTTCATGGCGCTTCATGTATCCGTCTATCGCGCTATAGGAGAAAGCCTTGCCTCGTGCCGTAATGTTGTCGAAAATGATAGCAAGCCCGGCCATCAGAGGTTCGCGTAAACCAACACGGACGTTGCAACGCCAGGGAGCGCTTGAATAACCCATATCTTTCTCGACGCAGTCGCACCCCCGTACAAGCCAGCAACGATAACGGTAACACAGAAGAACAGCTGAATTTGACGGCGAACTCGTGCACAGGGTGAAGTAGCCCCCATGTAAGACCGGCTGCAAGAAACCCATTGTATAATCCCTGGTTGGCGGCCAGCACCTTGGTTTGCTGGGCGAATTCTTGGCTAAGCCGGAATGCCCTGCGACCACGAGGGGTAGTCCAGAGGAACATCTCGAGCACCATGATATAGATGTGGAGGATGGCCAGAAGGGCCGTCGCGAAAGCGGCCAAGTTTGCCATCGTGAAAGATTAGGTAGCGTGATAATAAAGCCTGCAATTTGAGATGACTAATGCGTGTTTCTAGAGAGACAAAAAGAACATGACAGGTAGAAGGCACCGCAGCTAATAAATATGTTCCCGTGACTGAACGTCAGCCGGCTAAAAACACTGCACAACACGCACAATATGGCGCTTGCCCATTTTTAGCAAGAGATCTACTCCGTACACATAAAGTTTAGACGGAACCCACATTGCTCACAAAACACCAAGACCCCCTATCCACGATATATTAATCCAGCTGGGACCGCGTAAATGCTTACAAAAGGCTTAAATACCAAGTTTTCGGTTAATTCTACCCTTAATTCACGAGCTATAAGTAATACGCTTGAACGTGCTAAACACGTTACTATGCTACTAGTTAGTAACATTAACCAAAAAAACTAGTAGAGTTAGTACGAGGGAAACCCCCCACTATAGTTTAGTAGCGCAAGTCTCTTCTTCAGGCGGCTGACGTTGAGTCGCGGGTTATAGGGATTAGGGCGAGGACGTTGACTTGGATATATACCTTGATATTCTTGGAGCCTATACGGCCTTGCTGTTCTGAACACTTTCCACACCCACTCTAAATGACCGGCTGCCTACTAGATACACAAGGCATCTCTATTCCTGGTTGCACTGATCCAATGGAGGCGAGGAACGGAAATGAATGTGTCTTTGCGCCCCATCAAACATGCAGACTATCGAGTTGTTGACGACAAGGTTCAGTCACTATCAGACCTCGACCGGCTCGGTAGAAAAGACTTATTTGGATGGTTTCGGTCTCAAGGTGGTGTAAAAATTCTGGGCGGAATACGGAGAATATCGCGCATACTTCCATTGACCTTTGAGAACGGACGCACAGAGAATCTGGGTTAAATTGCACCCTCCCCATAACGAGAACGAAGTATCTGGCAACTCATTAGCCTTGAATGACGAAAAAAACTTTGGAAAGATTACACAAGGAGACTCGCAGTCTACAGACTACTCGCCCGACGGCAACGACATTGAGAACTGCTCTCATTTGCCAAATCAGCCTTCGTGCCGAGATCATCGGCAACAACGGCAGTTACAAACGGCTTCTATTAAGGATGGGATGTCATCGGAATTGCTTAAGCAAATTCGTCATGCTCAAAACATTTCTGGGATGGAGAGACCTCGCCAAACAAAGTTCAAGCATGATGTCCCTCAACAACGCGCAGATCTGTCAATGATGACGAAAACTCAACTCCGAAAATGGATACATTCTCTGGGCATAGCTATTCCCAGCGACTTTAATCTTCATGGAGTGCAGACCCTTGCTGAAAAACTGTCGGACGAAGCAGGTCAAAGTCAGGTCGAAGAAGACGTTCCGAGTAAGCGATACCGCCTGACTGGTCTACCACGACACAGGATTCGGCACAAGAATCATTCCATTACGCCGCCTCAATGCCGTTCCCACGTATCGCCTATAAAAACTGATCAACTTTCAAAATAGCTACGGAGTCATCGTATATCTTTCGACGGAATAAGCTTTTCTTCAGACGAATTACGTGCTTTTGCCCAACAAGTGCGGGACGCTTTAGCAAATAGTACTATTCAGCAGATCTTGGGTCAGAGAGCAGAACAAAGACGAGCCGGGCGGGAAATGGGAACACCCAAGACAAAAGAGAAGAGAGATGCTTCACGGAAAGCAGAGCCAGATTGTCGCGAGGATATTCGTGTGATCTCTGCAAAGTCGCTCAGGATATGGTTGAAATCTCTTGGTGTGAGAATCAGTTCGTTGACAACGACAGAAGTTCCGATGCAACGTACCGAACTCGCTTGGGATGCTATTCAGAATGGGACCTTGCAAAGTCTTGCCACGAGAACAAGGTACGTCGTACTAGGCGAGGCTAGTAGTCATTGGCTGCCTTAAACTATATATTTTACACTTGGGCGAAAAGTCACAACACGATGATTCATGCTTACACCTTGTATTACCCCCTCGGTGGCCGGAAGAAGTGTATTTGGTGGTCCAACAACATCAGCGACATAGGGTATTTTGCATGGGCTTTCTCACCTAACAAGGGAACGGATGTTTTTCCGGCCACCAAGGGGACAGAGTCAGCATTGTCAAGAACCCAAGCAAAATAGGGATATCTTCATTACGATGCCACTAGCTCAATATATGCGCAGGACAGGCCCCACAGACTGCCGGATCCATTCGGCTTTTGAGGACCTCATGAATGTGGAAGAGGTGGTGTATGAACGCACGCACGTCCCTTCGCCTCAGTCCACCAGGATCATTGGCTTGAGAAAGTGGGTTATAGTCTCCATGCTTTTCATCAACACTATCTAGGTTTCATGTTACGTGGCTGCCGGGGGGAGAAAGTCGCCAGTAACCGTTGTATCATGTCAATAAGAAGAATTCGGTTAGTGATGTCAAATAGCCCAACTTGTAGTCAACCCTTTGCCCATCACAGTCGAAGGCGGAAGTCTATCTTGTTTCATCTACCACCCTGAGGATGGCTGATTTCGATTGAAGCATTCCTAAAAAGTGGCGTTGCCGAAACGACCCTGCCCGAATGTGACACTATGCTACGGAATCCTTTCTACTTTATCGTGGACAAGATAGGACGGGTTGAGTTTACTATTCTCATTCTTCGTAAAGTATTGAGTGACTCACGCTATGGAACGAATAGGTTTTCTTGATAGCCGCGCATGAGTATATGTGCTTTATACTTAAGCTATTCGCATTTGAGTGACGCTAAATACAACACAGAGAAGCTCGCAGACTTCAACGATGAATAAATTATTCTCCAACTATGTGGAGCGGCTCATGACTTATCGAAAAGTGTTCATCTGTGCCTGTTCTGTCCTAGGTGAACAGTTCCCTTGGATCCAAGGCATTACGTCGAAGGCTTCCAGAGCCTGTCCGAATACCAAGGTTATCTTTCTTGGCAAAATGCGTCACAGCTTGCGCCTTACGCGCGTTGTGCCTGGCTGAGTCGCGTCTCCGGAGATCTGCCCGGACCTGGTTGGGTGAAACAAACTGCTTATTTTCATAGATGATCGGACCGCCGAATGACCCCTCCTGGATGAACATGGGCGTCAAACAGAAACCTTGAAAGGATTTGAAATTAGCTAGCTGGACATCACTTTATCTTGGTAATCTAGACTCACGAGGGCCAATTTCACGGAGAGATAGCTTCTCGTCTTTGCTTGCATCGTCTTCCTCTTCGACGATCTGATAGTGGCGTACCCAGATACGGCCGTCAGCCACAATGAAGGCTAGCACTCTGTCGATGAAAGGCTTGGCTTTCCTCGCGGTGGGTGGTACGCCGAATGTGTGGGTCAGGAGCTCGCGAAGGAGACGAAGGTAGGGCTCGCCATTGAATGCGGCGTCGAATGACAGTATTGGCCTTGATCCCTTCAAGCTGTTTCCCATGAAGTTGAGTTCTGACCTAGGTCGCAAAAAAGATGGTGTTAGAAAGCTACCCATACGTACGTCTCTTGAAGAAATCTTACATGGTGTGCAAGTTCTGGACATGGAATCGAGCTCGGGGTCCGTTGGGGGCTTTGGAAATGTGCATGTAGAGATCCTGCCGCTTTCGAGCTTCTAGAAAGAGCACCTAGGCACGTCTTAGTACGCCTTGTGACTGTGAATCGCAGTCGAAGTAATGGAGGTTCGGAGGACAAACATTGTTGCAGTTGTATAGGTCAGCGAGCTCGTTCAGATCGTGCAGGTTCTTCTTGGAATCGAACTTGGACTCTCTACGAGAGTGAGGAAGGAGGGCAGCGAGATCGTTGAGGAGATGTCGGTGACTGCAGCAAGATGACTGGGTCAATACTAGAGCTCTGAAGTCCCAGGCGGCCGAGGGTAAGGGAAAGGGCTTACCGTGCGTTGATGCCCCGCGAAGAGAGCAACAGGACTCTCTGCGCGTTCTTTGGTTTGGCTTTTGGGGAGCCATCCTCGGCACCAGACTTGGCACGAGTGTCGGTAGAGAGCGTCTTGTATACGGAGGCCATTTTTGCGAGGGGAGTCGAGAATGCTTCGTAGGCCGACAGCTGGGAAGTTTAAACGTGAAGGTGGTGTAAGAGAGCAGAAAATCCCATCATTTTTTTTCTGCCGTAGGTGGGTCTCTGAGCCAATCAAACAGCCTGTCGCCTCACGCCTGTTAGGGGGCAAAGTGGACTCAGTCACGTTACTTAGTGAAAGGAGGGGTGACATGCTAGACATGGAGGTTGGTGACGTCTCCCTAAAAGTGCACATGTGCCCTTGGAACTGCACATGTGATAGTAAGTGCTAACACTGAATTCCCACGATCTGCCTCATAAGGGACCTGCGGCTCCCTGTAGCCCACGCGGTCAATATAGCAGCGTAAGCTTCTCAGTCAATATAAACCGCTTTCTTACGCCTTTATTTTATGTCTTATTTTTAACATAATATATAATAGCCAGATATCTACATACATGGAGTAGTGTTGGCGGGGATATGGTTGGGTGCGACCCTACGAATCGTTCAGCAAGAATTACAGGAGGCTCTATCCGTCCCGAAATGGGCAAAATGTAGCTAGGAATTGTTCAATTGATCATGTGAAGGCGAGGAGAAATGCACGATAGTCCGGTAAAGGATGAATGTAGAAATGCGGGATGCAGCGGTCTTGCGGTGATTGCTATTCAGCAACCTCAAGCACGAAGCACGGAAGATCAAGTGTTCAGTGCCAGACTCATGCACGCTCCCATCTATAGAGGTTTTACTCTGTTATGGTGAGCCCCCCATCTTTGACGATTTCCCTTGTCCGGTAGACAAAAGGCCAATACTGTCACAGTTCGATTAGACCAGATAAATGGAAATGCCACCTCCACAAGTGCCTTCTATAATTTAACCTTATGTACCCCTTAGTTGTAGATACCCTGTAAGTTTACCCGTTAACAAATGCCTTGGTTTTTGTTGTTGTACACATTTCCAGACGGCTTGCTGATTTAAACGTCCTCTCGTTTATTGTATTCGACAGTAGTAA